TATTTAATTAATCCTAAAGTGACCAACGATTTGGGGGCGCTCGGTACTACCAACTGGCGTCAGAAAGCAACTAATCGGGCTGACTGTCAGAGGCTACTCGACGCGGCCAAGGACGTCCCACGTCTGTAATGGCCAACTAAGTAAGTAAGTTATTTTTTTTGAGACTGCATGTACCACCAATCGAACTCGTGCCCTGCCAAATTTGAAGCTCAGTGTCAGCGCCCGTTAACAAATTGACCCAAAGTAATACTTTTATGTTCGCACATTTTTCTTTACGAAAACTTCTTTATGAAATAATTTATATATTATAATTTACTTTAAAATGAATGAATATCAAATCTTGTACATTATTTACTTTCATACACTTATTTCGTTTATTCTAAAATTTCTTTTAATGACTTTACTCATATATAATCGTATGAAGACTGCCTTGAGGTCTTTCGTTTTCAACATTTCTTTAATGAAAAATTTTCCTTAACAAAAGCCTTCTTCAAAGACATCTTAAAACACTTTTCTTTATTAAATTTAAATTCGTAAATTTCTTATATAAACATATATTAATACAACGCTTTGGATCATATTGCATGAAGTGGGTTGAAGAAGGTTCATTGGCGTAATTTTTTCCGCCAGTCACAACTTGATTGCATCCACCAAATAAAACGTTTCCAAAATATTTACGTTTCAAAAAGTTTTCGCTAATGAATTTGCAAATATTTACAACATTTTGCATTTTGACACTTTTTAACTTTTATAAACATATAAGCAATTTTTTACGCATCTTTTGCTATATAAATGGTTATTTATTTTTATTTTTATTTTTATTTTCGCTCTAATTATACTGAACCCAACACGGCACATCTGAGTGAAATATTTTGTTTTCTTCAAACAAAAATTTTGGTAAATTGAAAAAAAAATTATTTTTCGATCATAAGCGTGAACAAAATTATAAACAATAATATTTACTGAAAATGTTCACCACAATCTAGCTGGTCTAGTCTGGTTCAGTATCTAAGTAGTATTTTTCCTTATAAACATCAACAAATGATTCAACTTGGTTGCTCGATTGCAGTTGTTAAAACCTTGACTCATCCACAAAATTTCCAAAGAAATTTTGATAAAATTGGTAAATATAGACTGTGACACCTTTTGTTGTTATGAATAGTATCCAAATAGTAATAGTATCCAAAAATGTTGTTGTTTTATCTCTTGCAATGTGAGATTTGTCATCAAATCGGTGCCTAGCTCAATCTGCGCGCACCGTGGCGTATGAGTTACATCAATGCAAAATGCTTTAGAAATTGGAAATGTGTTAATTTGTCCGTAATTTAATTTTTTACTTTTAGTTGCTGTGAATAACCGATACAGTCTTTTTTTCTTATTTTGAAATTATTTTGTTTTTTAATTAAATATTATTACTTTTTTAATTTTCGAGTATAAAAACTTAAAGCGCATTAAGTTTCGGTTTCGTGGTGAGGCCCGTACAATATAATTTATAGTAATTTGCGGATAATTAATAAAACGTGAGTTTGTAGAATTTAGTAATTTACTTCAGTTAAAATTTGTGTGAAAATCGAACTAAATTAAACTAAAAATGTCATATGAGTAAAACGTAAAGTTGCACGCTTCCGTTTAATTAGAATTTCGCTAATCATTTTAATTAGTGAAGATTGTGTTTCATCATTAAAATGACTACTATTTTTTAGTTTTGTTATAAAAGTATATTTTTGTCGAAATTCCGGGCTGTCCAACCTGTGTATTTTAGCACATATTGTTTTTCACAAACTTCTAATAGACAATTCTAAGTTCTATCTGACAATTTCTCAGTGTGTCTATAAAGTCCAATAACGTCACCCTAGACATTCAATAAAGAAGTACTCTTGCCAACAGCTGTTGCTTTGGCTTAAGTATTCAATTAAGAAGTAAAGCGCTCTCTTGACAAACAAAATAATCGCGCTCTACAAATCTCTTATCATAGTCTGTATTGAGCCAATTAATCCCGAAAATATAGTGAAAAACTTTAAAGCGAACCGAGAGAACTATCGAACGATAAAGACATATGTGATTCAAATCCTCAAAGCAAGGAAATTAGTTCTAGAAAAGAAGAAGCAAAGACTAGGGTAATTTAGTTATTTGCAGACACAAAAACATGCAGTGAAAAAGTGGTGGTCTGAACGCAGACCGAAAATAAAAAGACTAGGGCTACAATATAAAAGTAACGCTCGCCAAAGTAATAAGAAAGCGGCTCCCTGGGAAAATAAGTCTCTCCGAAGCGTGGAAGATTTATTCCGCATACTACATATTAATATGTTGGAAAGTTAGACAAACCATTCCAGCGACAGTCAGTTTAATGGTGCATCAAGCATACCACCTCCTCAAAAAAAAAATCTCTTATAACGCCTGTCCTGTTGTATAATGCAGACGCTTGAACAATAACCAATAGTGATAAGAAAGCATTAGAAGTAGTTGATATAAAAATTCGTCGGAAGATCTATGGTCCTTTACGCGTTGACAATGAGTTTCGAATTATATAGAACTATAAGCTGTATGAGCTGTATCGTGACACTGATGTAGTCAAGTACATACTGACTACATACACACTGGCTTCGATATTGTCTAAGCCACCAGCTTAAACTAATCAAACTTAAATTATTATCATAATATATTTTCCTAACAAAAAAGGTTTGTAACCCAAGATGAAGCGCTGTTATCATATTAGAATATTTTTCATATTCTCGGCCGTTTTTTATAAACCATTCGGAATTATTGCAAACTGTAGAAAATTCGTCAAATCAGCCGTATCTGGCTTTATCAATTTCACAAAATAAAAATCTCTCAAGGAATTAAGTCTTTGTCTAGAGAAAACCTTACTGCGACATAGTAAATTCACGAATGTGTCTTCCATTTCTTTATCTTTCCAGCTTCTGCAGAAGCTTCTGCTAGAAATACCCAATCTAGCTTACCTAACAAACAATCACCAGTTATGACGGACATATACAGATGACTTTAAACAGTCTTTGAAGACTTTTGTTCTTTTGTACCAAATCCTTAGCATGTGAAAGGCTGTATTGGAATTATTACCAAGCAGGTGTATAATCCAAATCCAAAGATAATAAGAATTTCTGACATATATTTGATGTTATATTTCAATACGAATAATAACTAAAAATGTTGATAATGGAACCTTAGAAACATTCTTCAAGTTGTAAGATTTTAAAAAACTTCACGGGAAGAAATATTAGTTTTATAGTTTTTAAGCGAAGTATATGCTCAGAATAAAGCTCTTGAAAATAATACCAATGAGAATATTAGTTTTTACAAATACATATTTATATGTATATTTAATACATATTTACACCTTCTATTTACTCTTGCCACAATCTATTTGATGAACTACAAAAAACACTCAACCAAAAGCATTTTCCAATAAATACTTTAGCTACACCGTTGGACATGCTAGTTCTATTAACCAGTTATTTCTGGTCTATGACTACAATTTTCAAAAGCTATTGAATTGTTATATATATAAGTGCAATATATATGTAGACCTTTGTACGATTTGAACATAATTTAATGTCCTATAAGACAAGACAGACGATTTAGAGTTTTTATCTACTATAGTTTAAATATTTTCATATTTGCTTATTGCCTTTACCCCTAAATCAAAACTGTTACACCAACAGGTTTTAAATTAAAATCTAGTAAAAATTTTAGACCTTCTACACTAATTTTATAAAATAAATATTTTTGTTAGTTACCAATTAACAAATCACTGTTCACACTGTTTGCTTATAAGATAATTACTCTATTCATTACAAATTGGATAATTGTTACTATTATTTAAATCATTATATAGAATATTATGAACTTTTAAGTAAATAATTTTTATACTTTTTTCTGTAGAGGTGGTTTGCTATAACTATTGCTATATTCTCTGCAAGCAAAACAGTTTTAGTCCTCTTTAAAAGTGGTTTTACTGGGTAAATGTCTCATGCTATGACTATTGCTGCTTTACTACCCCAAATAAATAGTTTCGTTATTAACTATAAATTAATTGATGTTTAAACTCGAAGGGAATTAATAACTTACTACGAAAAATAACTTACTACTACTTACTACTAACTTGCTACATATAATTATTTTCATATATTGAAGTCCAGGAACTGTTTCTGTTTATAAAGAACCACCACTTCTTATCCTACCGAATCTCCTATCTCATCAAACTTATATTGCTTTACACATTTTCATAACAACGTACGTATAATTTTAATTTTGTAATTTTCTTTTATTTTTTTATATTTAATTGCCAAGTAATTTACTACAAGTAAGTCTTAATCTTTTTTTAAAAGCAGATGGCCTTTTGGTTTAAGTTTATTTTTTATAATAGACTCTTTTTCAGCACTTTTCTCTGCCTTGAGCCTTGCATGCCTCTCCTTAGCATAATTCAATTCTGAAATCTGTGTTACCATTTTTTCGGCGATCTGATGTTGTCGTTCTAAACGTGCTTTTTGGTTAGACTAAAAGTAAATACATTATATATCGGTACTCTATTAATTAAGATACAATAGCTTACTCCTAATGGTGTAGGACGTCCATCCAAAAATGTGTAGTCAGGTAGATTTGTAAGTGGACCAAAAGCATTAGAATTCATTGGCAATCCTTTATCTTCACGCCACTTTTGATCATAATAGCAACTGGCAGTAAGTGATATATTACGTTTAAGTACGCCTATAAAAGTTTAAATGAATACAAAATATATTTAAAATAATAAATGTAACTAACCACTTGCAATTTGTGTTATATTTCTAAAAGATTTTGTTGTTTTAAGCATATTTGAATAATCACTTTTTTGTTTTGTAATAAATGGCAGAAATAAATTTTAATGTGTATCGAATTGTCAAAATCAGCTGTTAATTTGACTTATGCCGGAAAAATATATACAAAGCTGGCAGCACTCTTGTGTAGAGTTTTAAATTTACAAACATTTGATTTTATTTATCATTTGTAAACAAAAAGTTCGAGGAAATTTAATAAAAATATTTTGGCGAATGTATTAAAACACGTATTTTAAGTGCTGATATTATTTTTTATTAATTGTTTAAATAACATTATTATTTTATTATGTCTTTTGAGTCGCCTGCTGCAAGTGATTTGCCCGCTCAACAACAACGTTTGGAAATTACATTGAAATGTCCAAATCCTTTATTTGAAAAATGGCTGGAAAGCTGGCTACATGATGCCGAACGACGTAATAATAAATCTCAATACAAATTAAGAGAAGCTTTAATAGCTTTGCGTAGTTATCCACTACCATTAGCCTCTGGCCGCGAATGTGCTGTTCTACGCGGCTTCGGCACAACATTGTGTAACTTCATTGATGAAGAACTGCGTCAAGTGCAACGAATACAACCGCAAATTGTAAAAAACCCCATGTCTACATATGAAACAGAAGTCAAGCAAATCGTTGCATCAGTTAAAAAAGCCAAACAGAAAAAGAAGATAACAGAAAAACCAATCAAAATAAGTAAAAAAGTACAAAAGGCTTTAGAGGAGGAGGAAGAGCGCAATCGCCAAGTCTTAATGCAACCAGGTACATTTAAAATTTTACTCTTGGTGGATATACAAGAGACAAATGGTAAAAATAAACGTTTGTTGGATCAAACCCGTAGTTATTTGGAAACACTTAATGTGCAGTATGAAGTGAGGCGCCTGACAGTGGGTGACTTCTTGTGGATAGCACGTGATGCAATAGGAAATGAATTAGTCTTGCCTTATATTGTTGAACGTAAGAGAATGGATGATTTAGCCAGTAGCATAAGAGATGGCAGATTTCATGAGCAAAAACATCGTTTATGTCAATGTGGTTTACAGCATGTTGTTTATTTGGTTGAAGATTATGGTGACAATGAACATGTTGGCTTACCCTTAGACTCTTTAAAGCAAGCCATGACTAATACACAAATTCAATCCAATTTTTTTATTACACACACTGAAAATCATTGGCGTTCCATGTCTTATCTACAAGGCATGACAAAAACACTTATCAAACTATTTAGGAATAAAATACTTAAAAATACCACGAAGGAAAATTTACAAGAGTTCAATGCAAAAGATGATTTAGTTGGGTTACTTAAATTCCGAGCTCTGTATGATGATTCAGCACGTAATGCTCAACTTACTGTTCGTGAAGTGTTCGTCCAACAATTACTACAACTTCATTCATTATCGATGGAAAAAGCTTTGGCAATTGTTGACGTCTACGCCACGCCCAGACAACTTTTCGATGCCTATGAAGCTTGTGCCAGTAATGGGGAAGCACGCTTACTCCTGGCAAATATACGTTGTGGTCAATTACAAAGACCGATTGGAGAAAAATTAAGTCAAACTATATATGACTTTTATTGTACAGAATTTTAAACTTATAATTTACTCTTAACCATAATTTAATAATAGATTCATTTACATTTACATTCATTTACATTAAAACTTTGTGATATATCATAAATGTAATTAATAATATTTTTATAAATTTCTTATTTGAATACGAAAATAAATTTAAATTCTTTGTCATTCCAATTAAATAATTAATATTTTTAAGTTGATAGTACTGCATTTGATAGGAATAAATTACAGTTCTGTATTCTATATATTCTCTATATTCTGTTATCTACTAACAGATTTAGTGATATTTACGAATTTTAAGAAGAAAAGTACATAACTTTTGGGAACGCTAACTCCAGGATACTCACTACCACCAAACCAAATATCCTGGGTGACGTTCCCGATAGTGTGTTAACCTTTTCTTCACATGCAACGGTGATGAGCAGTCGGCTGAAATCCCGCAATTGATTAGTAGTAAAAATTGTTTTTATCTTCATAAACATCCCTCCAATCCTCGAAATTATGTGCATGATGGACGAATGTTCTAAAGTCCATCTAAATTTTAGTTTTCCTCAAATATTAATGGGTTATGTGCGACTTATGTGTCGATTTTATGTGATTATTATAATTTTGTCATTATTATTATTAGATTGTATCATTTATCATTTAGTTTCCAATTTTTAAACATTTTATATATGAGGAGTGATAACTTGCACCGAGAGATATTAAATAAACTCTTCAGTTATGGCTAAATTTATTTTATTTATCTGAATGTACCATTGTCCTTTTCTTGCTAATGATAAATAAATCTCTAATTATGCGTTAGTTAGACTTTAGAGATCAAAACTTTAGACAAGGTATGTCAGTCGTTGTTATATTGGTGTAAGCATTGTGACAGAAAAGTATCTGAAAACGTTTGCTTAATATTAGTAGTTGATATTCGCGTTATATCAGTATGTTTTAATTTCTATAGTAATCGGAAAAATGTTAATCAACTACATATTGTATGTAATGTATATATTAACTACATATTGTATGTTATTCGTGTTAAAACACTGTGTATAGGATTCTAAAGTAGTCGGGCAAATACTATTTAATTATCCAGTAAATTGGCAAATGCAGGTACGATGCATAATTTCGGATCCCATTTTAAATATGGTCTACTAGGTTATGCTACGTGTCGGTGATTTTTGAAGAAAACGTAACTTAAGAAAAAGTAGGATGTAACCACTGAAATCCGTAAACTTAGTTAAAGCAATTATTTTGATCCCGTGATAGTATCTTATTGCCATAGTATCTTATTGTCGTTATAAAAATTTAAACCAATAATAAGTTGATAGATTATACCGACGATTGCAAGGGATCCACCAAGGCTTATAGACCCATTGTGTTACCGTATATTTAAAAACTCACGGGAACCAATAATAGACTCTTCTAACATTTTTCTGGAAATGGAAATCTGGTTTTTTAGGTAATTATTTAATTATTCATATTACGCAGCAGATGTAAGAGGAATAATTTTGTAATAATAATTTTCAAACTTAAGAATTAATTAGCTTAATTCTAAATTATACAATTTTATTATACAATATTGACAATACAAAGCTTGAATATACATAATATATGAACACAGAACTATAAGAACGTGATATGCGTATGACTTCAATTTCTTAAGAGGTGATTGTATATAATATATATAAATATTTTTTTCGAAATTATCTTTGTAATACAATATATAATATTAATATATATTTATAACGCTATGCCAATATTTTGATATTCAGAATGTACTCATATTTGACACTTCATAGTTCAATGCTTTAGGCACATCAATTTGGCTTTGCTTAATCTCTCCAAATATATTTCTCTACACACTTTGATTAGTAGTAATTTGACATTGGGGTCTTAATTAGTATTACACGTCTCAGTGAGTTATCAATTTTTTTTTTGGTATTTAGTGCTTCGTTTTATTTATGTTGAATTAAATTAAAACTATAGTTATAGTTAAATAGGATTGAAAGAAATGACTTCAAGGGTACAAACACATGATCGTAGCGGTAGCACAAAAGCCACTCCACTCAAAGAGATTTGTTCCCGGGCGCTAGCGCCGAAATCAGAATGGCCTGATAAGGTAAGTAAACGAAAATGTGGGTCAATAAATAAAAATACTTTTAAGTAAAAAAACGTGATTTAAAATGCATATATTATATTTAATTTAGGATGAATTTCTGGATGTAATTTATTGGTCGAGACAAATTTTTGGAATATTACTGGGTATAGTATGGGGCATCATACCACTTAAAGGATTTTTAGGTTTAGTGCTGTGAGTATAAAATAAATAAAACAAAATGACGATTAAACTGATAATTATTATATTTTAGTTTTGCTGGTATTAGCTGTGGTGTAGTGTATCTCTACGCCATCAATTTTCAAGCAATAGACGAAGAAGCTTACGGTGGACCATGGGAATTGGTTAAAGAAGGATTTATGACATCATTTGCAGGATTTTTGGTGACGTGGATAATTTTCTACACGGGACTGCACTATGATGCTATAATGGCCGCGAAGGCTTAATAACTAGAAAAAAGTGCCAAATTCCGTTTCGTAGCTGACAATTAAATTTAATTACTATTCTTCTACCCTGTTTGTGAGATTAATGTTAACTTGGCACCCCATTCCTATACTCATTTTTGTTTGATTTATAATTATTCAACTACTACTACTAGCAATAAATATCTGGAAGTTGTGAAGTGTTTAGTCTTTTATGCTGGAGACTATTTTGTACCCCCGACAAATTTTATTGTTGCATTTAGTAATTTTATACATTTAATAATTTAAATTAGTTAAAAATTGTGGAAAACTAAACATTTGAAAATGTTTTCTTTTTCTGTGAAAAATAAGACAATTTTATAATAAAAAACAATTTAAATGGGTTTTACAAATTGCTTCTTTAATTGCATTTTATTACTGTTTGACTTTAGAGCATTAAAAATATAAAATTTACACGAACTATTTATTGTTAAGCGTCTAAATGTTAGTGTTCCATAACTTCGATGCCCCCTCCTCCTTCGCTACCGTTTTGTGTAACACCATTCTGTAAGTCTGTGAAGAAATTCTCTGGTAGCTGACCACTTTGTAATACGTGCGATAATCGCTCTACTTCGAGCAATGAACTGGCACGTTTTATAGCTTCGCGTATACGTTGTAAATCTTCAGGATTTGCCATTCTAGTGCCACTGCTATTGCTTTCTGCTGCAACTGCAGCAGCATTTAGTTTTGTCTTTTTAGCAATTTCCTTTGCAATATCTTTGCCTTGTTTTGTACGGAAGAAATCATGCGCTGCTTGACGATCCTTTTGTTTAATCTTTCTAAAATCCAGCAAACGCAGGTTTGGAAACTTCCAAGCCATATATTCACGATAATACTGTTTAGTCGAAACAGGATTAATTAATAAACAAATTGTGTCTAAATGCTGCAAATATGCTAATGGTTCAAGATCTCCTAATTCTTGTAAGTTATTACCGGTCAAAATAATGGAAGTTAGATTGGGCACAGCCTCGTGCAGACCATCACCGATGCGTAATATGCGGTTATTATTTAAAAGTAAACACTTTAAGCGCGGTAAATATGGCATTCCATCAAGTTTACGCAGATCATTATCAGATAAGTCTATGGTATCAAATTGATCTAGTGTCGCGCCAAGGTTTTCTATTTGAGGTATTTTATAACCACGTAAATCGAGTTCACGTTCCCGGCATGGATTAATGTATTGCATTGACTGATTTATCAGTTCAGGCGTTAGCTTAACCATTTTTACTTAACAAAACTTTAGGAAATTATTTAATTTAAACTTATATCAAGTATTTTTCATTAAAAATCTTCAAAATAAAACACTGAAATAATTTTAAAATAAATATTCAGCCACAAGCGTCGAAAACCAAATAGCAATTTGACAACAAAATGAACTGTCAAAAGCGCAATGTATGCAGTGCTGCCACATAGTTCGGATCTTTATACAGGTTTTACACAATGCATACTTTTGGTGCGTTATAAAACAATTATATAATATATATAAAATTATAATTAATTATTATTTATTTTATAGAATTACATAAAATTATTATAAAACATTTTTTATCTACATTTGCATTGAATTTTATACTACGGCCGTGTACGAGTTCAAATAAATTGAGGTAAAGTAAATTGAAATTTCCTAGAGATTTTTTGCACTGCATTTATGATAATATTTATATTTTATCACTGCATACAGTTAAACTTTTTAAGTTCAAAAATAAATTAAATTATACCGATATAAGGGATAGAGCACTCGTAAATTAATCAATTATAATAATTAACCAACTGTTGAAAAAGTTATTCGGCAATATACATAACCTAAATTCCATTAAATTGCATTAAATCGCCTTAAAAGAAAATCATTTATAAATATGAATATTCCGGTTCAATAGCATATATGTTAGTTTAATATTTGCAAAATTATTGTCAATTTCTATTTAAAAAGATTCAATAAATAAACCAATGTAAAAAATAAAATTACGATAATTTTTGCTCACATTTCAAACGACTAGTCTATTTGTATAATATTTTTCTTAACCTCTGAGCAAATTGTTATTACGACGAATAAAAAATCCTTTCTATAACTTTTACCGCATCTGAATATGAGAAATGTGTTTCTAACTTTCCTTTTCATTATGCTTAAAATAGCAAAGTTTAAACTTCATATCCATTCCTGCAAAAGCATTCATCATAACCTTAAAAAACATATAATTTCTTTTATGCAACTTTTTGACCATAACCTTATAATCGTTTTAATTCTTGTAATGTTTTGTTAAAAGCCACTCAACTTACCTCTCAAATCAAAATTAATACAATTATAAAATAAATAATGTTAATTTTTTTTAATATCTTTATTTTAATTTTCTTCGTTACAACTTTTTTATTTTAACTCGTAAATTTCACACAATTTCGATTTTTAATTTGAATAAGTAACTGTAAATGCAGAAATTTATTTTTGTATTGAAAATTGATATTTAACATTTTGTATTTGTAAATTATTTTCTTCTCTCAAAATGGATGGTGGGGGGCAGTTTGAACCTTTAGCATTTGTTTCGTATTCGTATTTAAATTATTTCAAATATTGAGATTTTTTACTAAACCTACAAAAACCCACAAAATTATTTATTTTATTTTTTATTAAATTTCACTTTTAAGTTTAAGTGTGAATATTTGTTTTTTGTGCATTCGAAAAACTCGTAGTTATTTATTTTTATATACTTAAGTTTCGTTTAAGTTCTTAATTATAAAATTAATTTGGTTTTAATGCATATAATTTATTTTTACTATTACTACAATAATTTAATTATTTATTTTTTTAAAGTAAGTTTTACTACTTTTACATTTTACAAAACATTAAAAATGTAAATTATAAATATTATAATAAATTTGAATTATAATTTTTGCAGAAAAATATTAAATTTATTAATATTATTTATTTTTAAACTTTTCATCAAAAAATATTAATAACAAAATTTTGAACACATTACATTTGTTTAAGTTATTAATTTTAATTAAATTATTATATAAAAATAAAAAATGAACACATTAGTTTTTGGAATATTTTGATTTTATTAATTGCATTAATTTTATTTTAATAGATTGTCATTAAAAATATATATAAAATTAAAAAAAAACAAAGAATTTAAAATTAAAACATCAAATTATTATGGATATCAAAATATCCATTGCAGTCTAAAATGAATCTAAAATAATAATTATATGTAAATATGTAAATAATATATAAAAAACCCTAATTACTATTTATATACATAATATATAGAAATATATATAAATATATGTATGTATATAAATAATAAAAAGATTTATATATTTTTATATATAAGAAAAAATATTAATTTATAGAAATTTAAGATAGAGAATTCTAAAACTGAATGTAGAAGTGAGAGCTTATAATGAAGTCCACTAAAATGTCACATATAAGGCATAGAATCAGGGCTTCAAACTGATCATTTATTCGTTCCGGTTCAATTAAAAAAAATGTATCTGAATTGTATCGGGATTTACTCAAAAATATCAGATTTTGACATTTTTTCGGTAATGGTTCTACCTTAAAAGAAATATATTCAATTTCTTGTCTTCAAACTAAGCTTCAGGGCTTCAAACTGATCATTTATTCAATCCGGTTCAATTAAAAAAAATATATCTGTATTCGGTTTTTACTCAAAAACACAAGAATAGTTCTACGAGTACAATAAACGAAATATATTCAATTTTTCGTTTTATTGCTATAATATCTGTTAGCTCTAGATTAAAACGAACTTCTAATGCTTAGGAAGTTCTAAAATGGAACGTCGTTCCAATCTACAAAGAACGGATCTAAGATAAAATAATAAATTTTAGAGACATTTGAGGACAATATTATTAGTTAATTTTTTTTTTTTTTGCAGTCTTTATTAATCGCCTTTAGAAGTAGATAAATCAAATCCTATAGATACCGATACGAGTACATGGGGTTCGAAATTAATAACGAGAAGAGATATTAAATCTAGTTACATGTTTAGATTCCTTCTCTTTTCACTAATATACATAAACGTAGTTGAATTAAAGTGCACAGGTAAAAACTGAAGGAATAATTCTTTACGAATTGAAGAGCTTAAACGATTTTCTTCATCTAAATAGAATTCAACCATATTCTCACTGACAATGTAGTTCTGTTTTTGTCTTAAATACTGTAGACAATTTTCTGTTTAGAAATATATTACATTAACAAATTCAGTAGCGCGGATGGTACTCCATAAAATTAAAGGTGTATGGAACTTAATCTATAGTTGATAGAAAATAAAATTAAGTACACAGTAGACTAATCTGGTCAAGCGATGAAAGCAGAGAAAAGAGGTTCAGTTAAGAGGGTTTTATAATACTAGTTATTACAACCGGGTGCGATAATGTAAATAACAACAGAGTTTTAAGGGAAAATATTAATATAGGGATTACGTTACATTCACAATTTTTAACTAGAATTTGGGTTTAAAAACATTGTTACCGCTCAATGCAAAATTAAAAATTTTTTTGAAGAAGAATATATTATATATATTATAAAAATCTTTGTAAAATTATATAGATTTTAGATATATTTATGGTATCTATAACAATATTGCAATATGATATTACTCGCAATATTCCTACGTACTAAATTGTATTTCCTTATAATTCCATTATAAATCCTTCAATCTGGCTCCAAATCAATCCGAGGTAACGTTTCTATTTATTCGAAAAAGGATTTTAGCAGACCTTGTGAATACTATGTTTGTTTCTTTTTGTTGTTATGTAAAGTACTTTTTAAATATTAATTGCCTGGCAACTCTGGCCTGTCATTATTCTATATTCCTTTTGTAATTATTATTCATTTTTAGTATAGTTAATAAAGCGAAGTAAAGAACATGTTAAAAATATATCAGACCGTGTGTTTCACTTTTGCTAAAAATATATAATAGGTTATGGGCCCAGCACGCTTCCACTGCGAAGTAAAAAGCACGTGCACATAAAAAGTAGATTTAATACGTGTATAAAAATGTCGGGAACGGTGATTCGAGTTGAACCGCTTAACGCGGAAAACTACGATACATGGAAATTACAAATGAAAGCTATTCTCATAAAAAACGATTTATGGTCATATGTCGAAGGTACTGCGTCGTGTCCAACGGGCGAAGGGGCTGCAAAATGGATCAGCTTTGATCAGAAAGCGTGTGCTGATATAATGTTATCAGTAAGTGCATCAGAATTAAGATTAATTGCAGAATGCACAAATTCAAACGAAATGTGGATGAAACTACAAGCCACATATTCATCAAAAGGGCCTGCGCGCAAGGCGACGTTGCTGAAAAAGGTTGCACTTTCGCGCATGAAGGAGGGTGGAAAGGTTAGAAAGCACCTCAACGATTTTTTTGAAGCCGTGGCAAAATTAAAGGAAATTGACGTCACCATCGGGGATGAGCTTCTGGCCATACTGCTCCTATATAGCCTACCCGACTCTTTTAATACTTTCAGGTGCGCGTTAGAAACGCGCGACGAGCTGCCAAAGCCAGACATACTTCGAGTGAAAATATTAGAAGAAGCTGAATCGCAAAGGACAAAAGAAGACAGACATAGTGATGAAAACTCTCTATACATAAATCGAAATAAAAGCCGAAACGCAAAACAAAACAAACGATACAGTGATTCTAAACGAAACAAACAATGTTTTAATTGTGGCAAAATCGGACATTTTGCACGTGAATGTAAAAATAAAGCAAAAGCTGAAAATAACACGCAATTGAAAAATTCGGAAAAATCTGTAAACAATAATTTTAGCTATCATGTTGAAGATGCATTTATTAGCTCAATAAAAGAAAATTATTGGTGCCTAGATAGTGGATGTACTGCCCATTTAAGTGCAAACCGTGAATATTTTACAGACTTTCAAAAATCGAATAAAGTGCTTAACTTAGCAAACGACAACACAACAAATATAAACGGCGTCGGTAAAATGAAAATAACTGTAGACGTATACGGTCGTGATAATAACATTGATCTTAAAGAAGTTCTATATGTCGAGGACTTGCGTACAAGTCTACTTTCTGTATCAAAAATAGTAGACAGCGGATATGAAGTGCATTTTCGCCCTTCAGATGCAATCGTATTGGACAAATATCAGAAGGTTATAACTCGAGCGAAAAGATGTGGAAATCTTTTTATTGTTGAAAATAAAAATCATTTTGCACAAGTTGTTGAAGAAAAATGTGACATTGAAAAGTGGCACCAGAAAATGGGCCACATAAATGAAAACGATCTTAAAAAATTGGCTAGTAATAACCTAGTACACGGATTAAAATTAAATCCTAAACAAAAACTTCCGACTTGCGAAATTTGTATTAGTGAAAAACAAATACAAAAACCATTTCCTAAGAGTAAAGAAACTAGAACAAGTGATTTATTAGAGATCGTGCATAGTGATGTGTGCGGACCAATGAGAACAGCATCAAATTCGGATGCAAAATATTTCGTAACATTTATTGATGACAAATCACGCTATTGTCAAGTATATTTTATAAAACAAAAATCCGATGTATTAAATGTATTTAAGCAATACAAAAGAGCAGTAGAAACACGGGTAAACGAATTAAGGCTTTACAATCAGACAATGGTAGAGAATACGTTAATTCTGAATTTAATTTATTCTTGAGGAAATTTGGTATACAAAGACGCTTAACTGCTCAATATACACCGGAGCAAAATGGTATTGCTGAACGTAAAAACAGAACTCTAGTTGAAATGGCCCGTTGCATGATGAAACAAGCTGAAGTTCCGCCAAATTTTTGGGCAGAGGCCATAAATACAGCGTGCTATATTCGGAATAGGTGTCCTACAAAAGCATTGAACGGTGTAGTACCGCACAAGTTGTGGACTGGTAAAATGCCAACTATTGTACATTTTCAAGTATTTGGCTGATGGATTTGGAGATCCATCAGATGGATGTCATTACAGCATACCTAAATGGAGAGCTCGAAGAGAGTGTCTTCATGGAAATTCCCGATTATCTTATACCATTCCTGAACAAAGTTGTTTCATTAAAACCAGTGGGAAAAACTTCAACAATATTGTGTGGAAAAGTTAAAGAAACAGCGCAGCATTGGTTAAAGGCGATTAAATCAAGTAAGTCACCTGTATGTTTATTAAAGAAAGCTCTTTATGGACTCCGTCAGTCTGGGCTATCATGGTACATGAAATTGACAAAGAAACTACAGAATATGGGTCTAAGTGCAGTACAACAGGATCCTTGTGTATTCACTAAGCGTGAAGGTAACGACATTGTTTTGATGACAATATATGTAGATGATTTACTAATAGCGTCCAATAATAAGTTTCGTATAAAAGAAATAAAGGCTGCACTTGCGAATGATTTCGAAATGAAGGATTTGGGAATAGTAAGTAATTGTCTTGGCATCGAGTTTCATCAAAATTTAAGCAAGCATCAAGTTTTCCTTTCACAAGAGAAGTATGCAAAAAGCATCATTGAAAAGTTCAATATGAAAGACTGTAAACCAGTGAAGACTCCCATAGAATTGAACATTAAGTTAACGAAACCAACAAAAATTGATGAAGGTGTTATGAAGATGTATCCCTATCAAAGCTTGATAGGAGCATTAATGTACTTAGCTGTTACAACTCGACCTGATATTGCGTTTGCTATAAACTTTCTTAGCCAGTTCAATTCAAATTATAACGTGGAACATTGGAAAGCAGCAAAACGAATTCTAAGATACCTTAAAGGTACAAGCAACTATGGTCTATTGTATGAGAAAAACAATGAAGAATTGTATGGTCTGGTTGACGCTGATTGGGGCGCTGACTTAAACGATAGACGTTCATATTCAGGGTATGCGTTCATTATATCAGGAGCAGCGATATGTTGGGAAGCTCGAAAGCAACGTACAGTAGCGCTTTCAAGCACTGAATCAGAATATATGGCCATATCTGAGGCCACAAAAGAAGCGTTATATCTAAAGGCAATCCTTGATGATGTTGGCATTACAAGTAAGACAATTGAAATCTTTAATGATAATCAAAGCGCTCAAAAATTAACGGAAAGCTTCAGGTATCATCCACGGACAAAGCACATTGATATTCGTTATCACTTTATTCGCAGCAAGGTTAACGACGGCACTGTTAAAATCAAATATATGCCAACAGAAGAAATGCCCGCAGACGTCCTTACCAAAGGACTCACTACAGAAAAGCATGTTAATTGCTTACGGAAATTAGGAATGAAATATTAAAGTCATATTTTATACATAAATAAAAGCACTTTAAGAGGGGGTGTTGTTATGTAAAGTACTTTTTAAATATTAATTGCCTGGCAACTCTGGCCTGTCATTATTCTATATTCCTTTTGTAATTATTATTCATTTTTAGTATAGTTAATAAAGCGAAGTAAAGAACATGTTAAAAATATATCAGACCGTGTGTTTCACTTTTGCTAAAAATATATAATACTTTTTATTGAAACCTTTTTTTCTATAAATATTTTATATTTCTGTAATAAGTGAATAATTCCACCTATTACTTGTTTAAAATAAATATGTTTGTTATGTGCCTTGACTATTTTTTTCCAAAATATTTATTGAATAAAAAAGATTTTGAAAATAAAGTAATTTGAAAAAAGGATAAGTTCTTGGTGTTCCCTTCATTAATATTATAAAATTTTGGTAAACTTCTTTTAAGTTCTCAAATGGGAAAATAAATACTTTCGTATAAAAAAAAATTATTTGATCAGAATATAATGTAAATTCATTTTTGCAAGATTTACAAAAACAAAGAAAAAAATGAAAAGATATATTTAGGTCTAATAAAACAACTTAACAAAACTAGAAACCTAATATTTTACTATTGTAAATATTTTATCAAAATAATTAATTTAATATTTTTTAAGAAAATTAAAATTTCTTATATTAACACATAAAAAGGACCTAGAAAAAAATTATTCAAAATGGAAGCAGTTATAAAAAATATGTTTAACTTTTATATTTTTTTAAATTTTTTATAATTTAAAATATTTATATTTATTTTCACAATAATTTTCGTGTATATAATATATATATATATATATATGTATGTTACAAATAATCATGTTTAATTATTTTAAAATTATGGTGAAGATGTTATAGAATATGATTGGCACTTATTAAATAAATATTTAAAATATATATAGTATATATCTTTAGTATGGTATATAGTATAGTAAAGAAAATATATATATGCTTATAAAAAATAAATACTAAATAGTAATAAAAAAATAATTGATTTATATATTATATAAAAACATTGTGCTAAACAAAATAAAATATACAAGTATGGAATAAGTTTAACAATTAAAAATTTTTTTTTATGTTAAATTTTAAAAAATGAATGCATTCAAATATATTAAAGTTAATAACACATAATGCAAGAGAATATAATTTTTTATAATTAAAAAAACTGCAGTTGTATATTTTAATATAAATAACCGAAAAATTGCACAAAAAATTCCAGTTTTGTTTTTTTTTCTAATTTAAACAATATTATTTTAATCTAAAATGAGTTTTTCTTTTACTTTGAAATTTCAGTACATACTATATAATCTGATGAAAGATTTTATTTCATAATTTTCGTTCTTTGCATACTAATTTAATTGCATTATTTAAATTGGTATCATTTAAATTTTTGTAAATTTTTAACTTTTTATATTTTAAATCTTAACTCTATGTTAATTACTTTTGCATTTTATATATCAACAACATCTTCTTCCGTGTATTGTGTATCCTTAAAGGTGCGACGTATTGAAGATCGTAATAGCCCTTCAACTAATGTCTCCTAAAAAACACATTAATATATATACAATAATTTATACAATAATAAATTGTATATAAAATCTGAACCTTTTTTGCTTTAAAACTAATACAAACATGCAGGAAATAAATTTTTAAAACACAAAGTTAATAAAATAATATTGGCAAAGTAGCGTTAATACAATTATTATGTTATGAGTACGTTACATTAAAAATTAAAGCTCGTTAATCACTTTTTAAAAATATAAATGAATTATTAAATTAGGACAATAACTAAAAACATTATATGAACATAAAATAATGAAATCTTTTTTTTTAACACAAACAATGCTAATTATGATAAATACTTATTGTACATATTACAAAAAGTCATATAAGAAAATTATTTCAAATATAGGTAACAATATAACAATAGTATAAAATTCTTGTTAACAATATTCTTGCTAAAATGATTTGTCCAGAATACTATTTAATATTGATTATTATATATTGTTTTTATTAAGTCAAAAAAGAAAAACAATAGAAATATTGTAAAAAAATTTTAGTTTTAAATTTTAAATTTAAAATGTTAACATGAAATCTCAACTAATATTTGGGATTTAAAAAAATACTATATAAACATTAACATTAACTTTAAATAACAAATAAACATTAATATTAACATAAAATAGTGTTGTAACTAAAATCTGTTTTTATTAAAATCTGTGCTTACTAACATCAATTTTTGTAAAAAAAGAATTGGCGATAATCACAATCTTAACGCAAAATTTCACAGCGTAAAGGCTGAATTGGTTGTGATATAAGAAATCAACTGATCTCTTTTTCATTGCATTCGAATATTCGTGCCGAAGTGAGAATAGGAGAAACCGTATGAAGCAACCATAAGAATTTCAAGAAACCTCTTGACGGGTTTATTCGTAAGAAAAATCTTATGTGATCTGATACAAACAATAAGCAATTGCATTGCATTTCTTTGTGTGCGAAGTATTTTGTGATCTGATTAGACTTGTGTTGTTTGTATTTTTATGTTGTTTTGCACCATGTGTACTTTATCAAAAATAATAACCTTTTCTGCATTTTGCCGTTAACATTTTCTACGTTCCCTACATCTACCACAACTGATTTAGCCTTAACTGTTTACACTGTGTGCTTTTTTTTTTAAATAAAAAAATTTACATATTCATAAACTTACGATAACAAATAAATATAATGAAACAAGATATTAAATGTAAATATAAAATCAAATATTTCAGATTATTATTAATATACTAAGCGTTATTATACTATAAAAAATATTCTGGTATTTCAAAATTTAAAAAAAAAGTGATCAAAAAATAACTCTGGACATAATTCATTTTAACACTGAATTAGCATTTATAGCAACAAATAACGTTGCATGGAAGCACCCTACATAATGATAAATTTAATATTATAATAATAATAATCTTCTTTCACACCAAACGTTATGATAGCTTAAATAAATGGTATAGGAAGAACATTTCACAATACAATGCGTATGCTTTAAAGGCGAAGCAAATTCATATGACATGTTGGGTTTTTGTTAAAACTTCTTCAAACCTCGAATAATGTTGAAATTTCTTTGCCAGCAATACGTTTAACACCATCACTACTACAACTATTTGAACCTATCGCAGAAGTAGAACTACTACTGCTTATACTGCTACTGCTGTTTCTAATGTTGATTATTTCATTTCTGCTACTGCTAGCGTTATGTGTACTGGATGTTACCTTGCTGCTGCTGGAATTACTACTTCCGTTTTCAGTGATAATGGTTTTGGTTAGATTTTCGCTTGTTCGACTACTCAAATTACTGTTGGTGTTTACAATATTAGATCGATTTGCGTTTAATACTGTGTTTATTTTATTTGTGGTCTCTGTAGTACTTGAAGAGGAGATGGAGGAATCGTTAAATGAATGACTTTTTGTTGCAGTAACTGATACTGAATTTGCAGATGTAGTGCCTTTTGATGTTAGTAATGATCTGGGCAGTACTTGCGGTTTAAGTGGTAGATCTATATTAACATTTTGGTAATCAAATGAATGAAATTAAAATTAAAAGAAAAAAATATAAATATTAAAAATTGAAACCAAATGTTTAAACTAAATAATAATGTTAAGAAAGAAATATAGATGTATACAAATAGAAAATTACTACAATAATAAATTTATAAACTAAAAATAAAATTATTAAATATTACACAAATAATAATATAAAATACAAAAAGAAGTTATAATTATTCTTTATATAGCTATTATTGCAATATACTTTACGCGTATGTTTTCACCGAATATTTCAGAATAAAATAATTCGAATTGTTAGGAAGATTTAATGATTTACAATTAATTTTAATTTGATGGTATAAAATGTCAAAGAAAAGCCTGTCCAAACACATACTGGTTTACTCTTCCAATAATCGTTCTTCATTAGCATAATATTGTATACATTCTATATGTAAAATGGTATTTCTAGCTTTTAAATTGAAACACTAAACTATTTTTTTCAATAAAAACGAACAAATCTATAAATTAATGCTCTTACGTCCTAGCATAAATATATAGACATCGAAAATATTCAACGAAATTTAAAAATTATAATTTTATGAAATATCAATGGACGCAATAGAAGATAGCCAAAAAATAATTAATGTAAAATTAAATTTTTAAAATTGTATTAAACTTTTTAACATCACATTTTTCTAAAATAGAAAGGAAGCTTTTAATATAGATATTTGATTGAAAAAATTAAAATGCTATAAAAAAGCACTTACTAGAAACGCTTTTCTAGTACTAGACGTACTAGAAATAGTACAGTGAGACTAGTTTCAGGAAGCATTTTGAAATTTCTTCCATGTGAAAACATTTAATTGAAATAAATTCATTATATTTAGTGTAAAAAAGACCAAAATATTTTAATGGGAAGAAAGTAAGTTCCAACTACAAAACCTTCCTCTAGTATACGACACTACATACTAATGATTGATATTAATTGATAAAAAGTCAAAGTAACAAAAATACAATACAGAATTAAAATTTTAACTAAAACTACAATAAATTTAAAATATTAAAAATTAAAAACTTTATAAATAATTAATATTTAAACAAAAATTAAAAAAAATTAATTTTATAATAAATAAATGAAATAAAAATTTAATTAAGATAATTATATGATAATATGTTAAATAAAAAAATGTTTTAGAAAATTTAGAAATCAACTAAGGTTTGGCTTATAAACCAAGTTCTTTTATTCTCCAAACATAATTATTGAGAACTTTTAAACGTTTTTGGGATTAGACTTTTTAGACATATTTTGTACCAATAAAGTTGCAGTCAGTAACCCAAATTGATAAAATTAAAAAATTAATATAGTAATGAGACTTGAATCGTATAGTCTCAATTGACTATATGATTGACTAAATAATAATCTAAATTAAAATATATCTTTACTATAATTTAACTGATTTCTTAACTTAAGTAACTTAATTTTTGAGATATCAACAAAAATAAAAAATATAATTTGTTATATAGCTTACCATATAAAAAAATCAAATTTATATAAATTTATATATACTTATCTTCTTTATATTATTACTATATAAACAAATTAAATTTTTACTATAGCATCATCAAACAAATGATATATTTTTATGACAAAAGTTCTTATTTTGATTAAATACATAATAAAAAAATTTTAATAATATACTTATAACATGCTAAATGCATTCTCGAAAATATATAATTGAAATTTTTATCTAGTTTAAGATCTAAATATGTTTATATAGAATAATTTGAAATCATAATAATAAAATTGCGCTTTAGAAAATAACAATAAAGCTTTCTGCTTATTATATTTTAATAAAGCAATTATATATTATATTTTATTTTAACGTAGTTATGAATGTAGTGATTATGTTACTTAATAAAAACTATTGTATTTAATAGAGAGGTTTCGAACAGTAAGGAATTGTCACAACGAAATTTTTATTTGTTTGTAATTAATTTAATTCTTAGTTGGCCATACAAAATTTGTAAATAATTATTAATTATTATTGTTATTATTAGTTATTATTACTATTATTAATTATAATTTAATTAATTAATAATAAAAATAATCAATTAATAATAATAATCAGTTAATAATAAAAATAATAAATTAATAATAATAATAATCAATTAATAATAAAAATAATAAATTAATAATAATAATAATTTATTAATAGTAATAATAATCAATTAATAGTAATAATAATCAATTAATATTAATAATAATCAATTATTAATAATAATAATAATCAATTACTAATAAAAATAATCAATTCATAGTAATAATAACAATTAATAATAGTAATAATCAATTAATAATAATAATAATCAATTAATAAAAATAATAATCAATTAATAATAATAATAATCAATTAATAATAATAGTAAGTAAGTATAAAGTATTTGGTAGTACTCGAAACAGCTGTATGGTTGGCAAAAATTCAATTAATAAAAAATAAATAAAATTTTTTTTGTTAAAATTCACTTCTGTTCGACACCTCTATAAACAAATTATATAAACTAAATGAAAATATAATTACAGTTTGAGTATATATAAATAGATTTTTATAAAATAATACGTTTAGTTTCAAGTCATGACAGACTATCACCAGAGACATATATGTCTCTGTTATCATCTTGAATTTATATATCTTACCCATGCGATTCAAACCAGCGGCAAGTTCACGCACGGATTTCTTCTCCAATGCAGCACCTAACAAATTAATATATATTTTTATATTTAGAAAAAAAATACAATAACAATAAAGCTAACCTGGTGTTATACCAACAATACTGCCACCTCCAGTGCCACCAGCTGCAATTGCAATACCGGGTGTTATGCCAACAATAGAACCGCCTGAACTTTGCCCAAAAGGTACAACAATCTCGCAATCTTTAATTAAAACTTTAGTTTTAAATGCTATTATTAATTATTAGCAACTATTTTACTAACCGTCATCTAATTTTTCAGGAGTTGTTTTATTAGAATCATTACCACTGGCTGAGTTATTAGTTTTTTGATCAGTGCCCACAACAGACCAGGGTCTTGGTTTTTGTAGTACAATTGGTGTGCGAAGTATGCCATTGCCAGTCTTTATAATCACACTGCTATCGCCACCAGTATGACTTTTAATAGAATCGCTACTTGGTGAGCGCATTTTATCTTCTCGTACGCCTACTGAAGACGGTGCTTTAAGTAGCCGCTCGTTAGCATTCACTTCATCAACAGCAGCGCCTTCTGTACGCATTTTAACAAGTGGAGATTTACGTCCAATTAGTGGTGAATATTTTTCCAAATTATCAGTAGAACGTGAACGTGTTGCCCATGCTACACCTAAATAGTTAAATAAAATAATTTATTAATATTTAAACAATAAAAAGTGCACAAATAGTCACAAAATTACGGGGAGAAGTACGGAAAAGTATGGCTATGGAAAAGTGAAAACTATCATAAGACAGGTGGTGAAAGTATAAATATGTATGAACACAATACTCTTTAACTATTGTGTTTAATGTATGAAAAATGAATACTTCATACCCCTTAATAATGGTGAACTGCGTTCCAATTTTATAGGCTTACGTTCTTCTAATATAGGCGTAGTTTCCTCGGAAGTCATTTGACCATTACCATCACGACTCATTGTTGGACTATCAACAAAAGATAAAGAACTGCACTCTTCCGATGTGGGCGACACCAATGGAGTGAGAGTTGTTGGTGTTACAGAACCTGGACGAAAGAATTGCTCTAAACCTTCACCAATTTCTTTCGTTGCACTTTCTACACTTGCTAATGGACGTGTGGGTGCACGAGTTTTTGCTCTTTTAGGGCGTCCTTTAACCAAATGCTGTAGTTGAAATGAGGCGCTTGGTAATTCTGTAATTGAATCACAACATTCATCACCAACACCATCATCCAAGCAGCCACCATCAACACCAACACCTATAATACTGCCACCAACCATGTGGCTATTAACTGTAGAGTCACGCGACATTTGCGATGTTGAACGATGCGAGGAGGGTGATTCCAATAAGTCTGGTATATGACCTAAGCTCAAATTCTCCACTACAGACTGCGGGCGAATCTTACGTGCAATAGAACGACGTTTGGTGGGCATATGTGGTGTGGCCTAAAGGAAGTTAGTTATATGGAGGAGAAAAATAAATACAATGACGGTTAAAATATTTCATTTTATATATGGTACGAGTATAAATAATACATTTAAAATAATAATAAGAAGCAAGCAAATGTTAAACTAATAGATTAAAATATTTATTTATTTATTTATTTATTTATTTTTAATGCAAACTTAAAAGTTATTGTTATGACAATATGCAAAATTAAATGATTAATGTGCTTTTATTATAATCGAATCACCAAAATAAACCAAAATATAAAATATAAAGACAACATAAGATAAATATATATAGAACGGTGTTTAGAATGAAAGAAATTAGTATTAAAATAAAAAAATTAAATTAGTAATTATAAATAATCAGTATTACTACAGTATAGAATTAGTATTACTCTATTAAGTTATTAAAAAATTTTAAAATCCCAAATGAATAAAAGGAAAAAGTCAACTTAATATATTATACAAATCAATAGATACTTCAATGAAATAATAGACACACACCTAAGCAGACTACTAAGGATTTTATATATTATTGATAGACATATGATTATTTATGAATAATAATGATATGCGTTCCATGACAACTACTTACAAGGTTCAGATATTCCAATTTCTGGTATATAAATATGTGTAACAATTTGTGATACGTTTGAATTTTTGTATATTTGTACATGAAGAAATTTAACGTATGGGAAGTTTATTTTGTTTTACATATTTTTTGTTTTATATGTTTGCGTTTGCATGATGAAGGAAAAGGGGGAAAGACACAAAATAAATATAAATGATTTAATTTTGTTATTAATAAAAATCAATATTTTATGTATATTTTAAGTGTAGCTAATCAACTAATTTCAATTTAATACACATGTACATAAGACACATACATACATATATACATACATACATATATATATGTATATATACATATATTAATTATATATTATTTATGTTGTAATATAAGCTAAGTGTTTATGTTACTACTAACTATTTTATTTGAGTGTAATGTTTTTTCAGTGCATAATAGCCAATTTATAAGTAATTTAATAATTGTATTTTAAGTTAATTAATTAATTATATTCGTCACTTGTTGTATTTTGTTTAAAAATAATGGTAAAAGCGCCAATTGATTTGATGAATGATTTAAAAATGCGACGTGTTTGTCATAAAATAATTTAAAAATTATTTTCCTATGAGTTAATAAAAATAATTAGCTAATTATGCTTTTGAAAATGTTGTTTATGTATTGCTGATTTAGTGCATCCATTTTGTTGTTTATATTGATAATACACAACTTACAGTGGGTGACTCAAGTCCTAATTTTGGAAGAATAGAGCCTCGGCCTGGTCGTATAATCATACCATCAGAATCCTAAAATCAAAAAATATAGATAAATTTATATTTCATCTTTTATATTAAAAAAAAAACAGAAATATGAATATAAGCAATTTTAAAATTTCAATGTAATAGAGATAAAAACTAAACTGAACTTATTTTTGGTTGTGTTACGTATTGCAATGATACTCTATTCTTCATTAAAAAACATATTTGAATATTGTACTGATATGTATGCGAAAAGCTCAATGATATATCAAAAATAAAGATGTACACATGGACTTGAGCATCTAGAGTGTGCAAAGGTATCTCAAAACTAGAGAATTGAAACTGCTTGATTCTGTGGATGCTCACAGTAACTTAAATCAAATACAAGATATATTTCATCAGAAAGACATGCTGGGCTTCAAACTAAACTATTGTAACTTTATCTGAATAACTCGTTAAAATTATTTAACGGAGCTTTTATTACAGTGAATCAATCAAGTGGTCACAGACTATTGAGTAAAAGTGCTTTAAGCACTTACACGCGTTTCATCAAGCAAAGAAGAGGAAGAAGATAAAAATAAGTAGCATCGGTTCTAATATTCAAGACTATCAAAACCACACTCTAAGAATTCAAAATAATTACCCTATTGGGAATACTTAAAATACCGTAATATATCAAAAACTCATAAAGATCAACTTATAGACACCCTCTCTGTTAATGTTTTTCGAATGTCCACAAGATGTCAAGCATAAGCGCTTGTTAGGGGGGTTTGGGTGGCCGTAATGATCGATAAACACTCTCCTGGTTCCAAAAACGGTTGAGTTCACGTCCTGGAGTCTCTCATCGTTAGTGAAAGACCAAGTTCGTTTCAATATCTTCCAAAAGAACTTCGCAAGCAGGTTCCAGCTGGTTACCATAACAACATAATAAATCTCCGTTAATGTTTTTGGATCGAAATATCAAAGTTAATACAACACTGGTGGACAACGAAATATTTTCATTAAAATTTTGCACTATCACACAATTCACGCGTTAATTAGTAATGGACTGTGGCTTATACAGTATCCAGATGAAATCGTACAAGACTACTCGGTGTGAGACATTTTACAAGCCAACATTAACATCAACCCCAATTCATTAGCACAGCCCCAATTCATGAAATCAGAAAGACTTTAGGTTTTATATAGTTATACTTTATATAGAATGCGACTGCATTGTCGGTCGATTTAGGTAACATCGACTATAGTTCGTGCTTAAGGCGATCATATGGAAAATTCCAATAATTTAATTATTTAAAATTTTTATTATTGCTTTATTAACATTTAATTTTAAATAAAATATAATAGCATTTTAAAAAGTTGCAGTTAAATTGAGCTGTCCTGTCTTCATTTAAATGGACTCGCGTTATTGTTATAGTTTTTGTATTTACTCAAAAATACTTTATGACTGACCGTACACCTTTTTCGGATATTATCAGTAAAAATAGTAATCTTTCACAATATTTATATTTAAAAAAATTCTTTGACCAAAAACATTTCGTTGAACATCATTGTAATTATTATTATTTGTTTTTTTTTTATTATTAATTTTTTTTTCTTTTAATATTAAGTAGTAATAATAAATAATAATAATAAATAATAAAAATAAATAATAATAATCATAATTAATAATAATAAATAATAATAATAAATAATAAATAATAATAATAATAAATAATAATAATAAATAATAATTTGGCAGGTATGAGTTTTAAACCTGGCACTTGCAGTCCAAATTTATTATATACGGATCTATAAATTAATTAAAAAATTCAAATATTTCCTAAGAGCACTGATGATGAGCACTTGGCAATACCCAAAACAGCGTTGTGTGGTCAGTCAAATTTTAATAAATTAAAAATAAAAATTTTTGTTCTTGTCTTCTCTTTGCTATTCGAATCCTATTCGAAAACTTTTAAATAGTTTCTTTTTGTCATAAATACGCGTCACTCTCGGCAAAAAAAACATTGTATTACCGCCTTTTACGTATTATTACTCGTAGTTTACATAAACCACATTGCATTATTTTAGTTACTTTATATCCTACTTAGAAATGCTAGTATTTATTCATTCAAGCAAAATCTCTTCATATATAAAATAATACTTCTATAACCCGATAATAAGATGAAATTTTTAATTGATTTTCAGTAATGAACTGATTGATACTAAATAAGTAACCAAATCAAAAATGTAATTGTGTCTTGAATAAAGGAACAAGAGCTTATTTAGATTAGATACATATTTATAGATCTCTTGAAAATATTTTACTAGACCAAGATAAGAATCGAAAGGGGAAAACCATAGTGAAAGTAAATGTACCATTGGTGTTATATTTCCTTTAGTCGTAAATTCATTAATGACTCGCCGCTATATTCCTTCCTCAACAATTGAAAGTTACTTATGAATTCTGATTAGAAAAGTAAATAGCTTTATTCGTAGAAATATTCTAAAGTATACGCATTATTTCGAAAATCAATTAAAAATTATTACAACAAAACTTAAATGCACAAATATACATATTATATATTATATATAATAAACACAAAAATTAATTTATTCACTTCACATATTCTTTACGAGCAATTTGAAATAATTATTGTAAACTAATTATCGCATCTACGGTTTGCACAAATATTTCAGTGGCGAGTCAAATAGTTAAGATTATTGATAAAAAAAAAATTTCAAACATGACATCATTGATATAAATCAATATATTTGCATTTTTGGCCAACGAATTTTTAATAGAAACCCAAAAGTTGAGAAATCTCATTTGTACAGCTTTTGTTTTTCGTATACTTTCTTGGAGTAAAGATAGTAAAGCAAAGAAAACAAAACAAAAATTGATAAGCGCATTAATTTGTTTTAACAAAAATTAAATAAAAAAAAAAAATAAATATAAAGGAAAATTAAAAAAAATAATAATAAAAAAATAAAGAGAATTAAAAAAAAAATTACACAATAAATATTTATAAAAATGATTATCAACGCGTACGCAAAGTTTATGTATCTACATATGTGCTATATATAATATATATGATGTTTTTAAGTGTAGTTGAATATGTGGACTTTATATATATCCTATAGTTAACATTAAAGCATTTAAATTCAAATAAGGGATATAAAGTACTGAAATCTAAAAAATTGAAGCTTGAATTAAAAAACCTCTTAAGGAGTACGAAAATAAGTTCTTAAAATAGTTTATGATCTACTTTACATCACTGGCCTCAATTTTTAGGCCAACTACTATATTAAAAATTTTTTAAATTATAAAGTCAGTAAATCTAAATCAGTGGTAATCAAATTTTTTCGATGACATGTTTACGCAAGGTTTATATACTACACCTCTTCAAATCAGCATTCAGAATATAGAAGTAGATTAATCAAATATTTAACCCTTTTCACACAGATTTTACAATAAAGCTAAAGTTAAGCAACTTTAATGCGGATAATATTAGACAATTTTTATTACATTATTTCTTTAATGTGTAATTTAAAATTGTTCCTCTTAACAATTAAATTGCCCACATATGGGACTCAAGTCCCACGTTGAGAAACAGTGTTCTAATAATAAATATTATTATAAGTTTAAAAACGATTAAATCATTATCAATCATACATAGCTAAAAATAGTTAAAATATAGCACCGGAAGTAAAAAAAAGTGATGATGACCTCATAGTTGGCAGCATTATGAGCAACAAAAACCTCTATTGATGTATTAATAGTTTGTATTAATTCTAAATGTAAGCAATAAATATTTCCAAGGGCCTTACAAAATAATCTATATTTTGAAGAAAAAATTCAATTATAAGATTGTATATGAGAATTGAAAGAGAGGGGGTGAGATTAACAGAGACTGAGAACAAAAGACAGTGAGATTGATCGAAAGGGAATGGGATTAAAGGACAGATTAAAATAGATATTAAAGAAAAGAAAGTGAAATCAAAAGATGAATAAAAAAAGCGAGTGGGATTAAAAGAATAAAAGTAAGTTAAAAAAGAGAAAGCATCTTTTTCTTTCTTAAATTAAAAGAAAGGTAACCTTTATTGACTTATTAATAATTTGTATTAATTCTAAATGTAAGCAATAAATGTTTTTAAGGGTCTAACAAAGATGTTTATATTTTGAAAAAAAAAAATAATAAAATTTAATTAACAGAGTGTGAGATCAAAAGAGAGTGAAATTGATCGAGAGAGAATGAGATTAAAGGACAGCTTAAAATAGAGATTATAATAGATATTAAAAGGAAGAAAGTGAGATTAAAAAAGGAATTAAAAAGAAAAGAGTGACATCAAAAGAGAGTAAGTTAAAAAACTGAATGTATCTTTTTTTCTTAAGTTAAAAGAGAGACAAGAGAGAGTGAGATTAAGAGCGAAATGAAATACGATTGAAAGGGTGCAAGTGAAAGTAAATAAAATAGCTCAATAGGTCAGGTCAACAGGGTAAAATATAACTATTCAAGTTTTAACAAAATTGCAAAATATGCCCTTGCTTTTATTCATAGCAAGATAATGAGATTTAAAAAAAGGGCGTAACAATATAATTAAATAAAATATGACTATTTTAATTTTAACAAAATTGCAAAATTAATATTTGGTTTTCTTTTGTTTTACGTTTAATAAAATCCATTAAAATTATTACTTCTTTTCACAAAAAACTTTTATTTTGAAGTATATTATTTCTAATATTCAAAATTTCAATGCACTAATTATTGGGTTGAATAAACAAATTACTAACGAATGAAAACGCACATATGTATCAATATACCTATATAAAATATAATTATAAAAACAATCTTCAGTACAAATTCCAAGCTATAAAGTTTTTGTTGTTAACTTAGTAAATATTTAACGAAGATTACACAGTTTATTGCCTAATACTCGTAGTAAAAGGAACATGATTTTTATCAGTAGCTACTTCAGTTAATATTTGTTATGGTTTTATATAAAAAGAGATAAACGACCTTCAGAAATTTGTGACAACTTAAAGGAAGTATTAATATATTAAGATATCACTGACTTTTTAAAAAAATATTTGTGGTGCACTTAATATAAAAATAATATAATAATTAATATAAGAAGTTTCTATGAACCTACATTCTATAAGTAATAATAAAAATCGGAATATACTTACATGACTCGAACGACTGCGTACAATATCAGGAGTTTGTGGTTCATCAAGTAGCACTGAAGGTGAATCGGCAATACCTAAACCACGCCGGTAACGTGTAAGAGCTTCCAGCACCTCATCAGTAGCACGATCTGATATAGCAGCAGCCAAAGATTGTTCAATTTCACTAATTAAAAAAAAATAAATATATATTAAAATTTTATTTAACTTAATTAAATAAAATTAAAGCAACTTTTTATTGATTGTATCATCTGCATTTACTGGTACAACTTCGTTTAATAATTGCAATTTTTCAGATTCCTCTGTTCCATGTTCAAAAGCTTCATTTTTATCTAATGACTGGCTCGCTGGTTTAACTTGAATTTGGGATTTCCGGCTTAATCTAATATTATCGTCATCGTCTTCATTTTCGATTTCTTTTAAACGTTTTTTAGATATTTTTTGATCACCACTAAAACAGGCACATAACGTACGAAACATTGTCTAATATTGATTAAATTTTTCTATATCTTAATCCTCTAAGACCGATTGTTGAATAAACTTGCGAACCGTTTGAAGTCTCTGTCATATCATACTGAATCTGAATGTATCTTTTGTATAAGCGCAGCTTCAGCAAAACATATGTGTTTGCTCTTTTGTTTTTAATTTGAGTGAGTACTAAGAAAAATGTTTTAATCACAATACGAAGCATTCAACGCAGTTCTTAAAACTTTTAAATCACTTGTGTTGTTTTTGTTTTTCTGGTTTTTTTTTGTTTTTGTTTTTGTTTTTGTTTTTGTTTTTATTTTTTGAGAATACTTTTTGCGATATCGCACGAAAATTCATTACGCTTTTGAAACGAGTTCCATTGTGTCTATGCTTGATATTTTCGTCTTATTCCCCATATGCAACGCGTCGTTTCTATTAGTTTTGAGTTTTAATCTTATCTGTGTAAAGCATTTCGCTACTATCTACTCTCGCCTATGATATAAATGTGTACTTGTGCAAAGTTATTAGCACAGTGGAGCAAATTGAGATTTGCATGATAATAATTGTAATTATTTACTATATTTAGGCGTTTCATAATATCATCAAAATTTATGAATGTCATTAGTATGTGACCTTAAATATGTCAAAATTAGGAGTGACTCTATTACATCTCTTGACACACATCTATTTTATCTCTCATAAAAATTTGTTGTAATTATTCCCTGATCAATATATCTTTAGAAATAAACTATGAAGCATTATTTAAAAAAAAAAATTTTAAAAAAAAAATCATACATTACAGAACTACATTTTATACGATTTTTAAAAACATATCTAAACTTTTCATATAAGTCATATTTTTTATCCAAACATTTTGGCTTCTTATGACATCCTAGAAGCGATCGTGACTAAGTCTAGGGACGTTCATCTACACAAACCGTGCAGTACCATCAAACTAACATATATTCAACGGGTATAATATTAGTAGTTCGGGGACAATATTAGCAGGTCGCTCGGGCTAAAACAACATCAATAACAACTAACGCAAATATAATACTGTGAGAAGTCACAATTTTATGACGGTCATATATTTATGATACCATTATGGCGATGTTAAAAAGTCCTTTAATTCAAAATGGTTATATATTATATATATATTATAATATAAACAGAATGGCATGTTAGTTTTCCATTTATTACTCTGCTGCTATATGATCTGTAAACATTATGAAGAAAAAATATAAATGATCGAAATGATCTGATCAACCTTCTATTTCACACACATCATGACAAAAAATGTCAAACATAATCTCTCATAATCTATCAAAACTAAAACCCCATAAATTATTTAAGTACAGGTAACTCACTATACCTCCAATGGAACATTATAAAGAAACGTTGTGAGATATATATATATAGTAGAAAATGGATTTCAAACTACATATGTGTATTAACAAAATTATTATTATTAATAATTTTATTTTTAAAATTCACAAAAAAAAAACCGTTTTTTTTAATTCTGTAAAACTGGAGAATATTTCTAATCATTAGAAACTGATTAGAAAGCATAAGAAAAGACATCAGGAGTATATATGTTAAAAAGTTTATTGATATTAATTTATATCAGAAATATCCTTGACAAATGCTAAGATTGTTTTAATTATCGTAATCCACATCATTCTATTTCTCTTGGGTGAATTTACTGGGTTCATTTTTCTTGCAGACTATGAACTTTGCCATCGTAAACGAGTACTTCTTAGACAAAGAACTGTCATTTGTAAAAACAGCTGAATATTGTTATTTTATGTTATTGTTACTGTGACTCTTTTTAGATATAATAATGACTTTTTTAAATTATTTTTAGAACTTTGCAGATGTCGAGGATTTAGTCTTATTTTTACTTTTTCAGACTTTAATACCAAAAAAATTTTGCAAAATTTTATATAGGACATAAACTAAATTTAAAAAATTATTTTTTTCTTTAATGATTTGAAGACACTTTGATTTACATAACAGAAAGAAGAAATTAAAAATAATTATTATACTTATAAAGTACAGACTTTTAATTATTATCTAGTGATTTTTAAAGACAAAGAAATGATTAAATGGTTATAAAAATTTTTATCACATAAGAACGAACAAAGGCTCTATTAAACTAAGTTATTTATTTGGCAGATAAACGCATTTGTTTTATAACATTCAAATTTTATAACATAATTAAAAGTTATATTTTAGTCATTTCAATCCGGTTGGAATTTTAACGATTATATATTGAAACAATAAGGAATATATATACATATGTATATGAAATGAAAAAAGTAACGTATATTGCGCCAGTATTTAAAATAATATTTAAAAATTAAAATTAAAATTCAGACTGGCTATATAACACACATTGTTGTTGTTTTAACCGAAGTCGACCTGGAAAGCAAGCACACCTGAGGATGACAAAACTTGCACAATATGATGGAATAGAGAAAATGAGTAGGTATAAGTAATCAGAACTAATAGAAATGTAGTTGAATCTAACCAGGATACAAATGAAGAAATCTTGTAAGTGCTCGACACACATTAGGGATAGTCGTATTTATGCGTGAAAAATACCTATTTAGCAAGTGACTATGTCCAGACTGCTCAAATCAGTTCCTTCCACACGTAGTAGACTTCTACCATCTACTGCTACACCAATCAAAAAAAATTTGTATTAGTTTTGTATCCGTAAATAGGTACGTAGGTAAGTTAGAGTGGTGTCTTTGTATCCAAGAAAGCGCACTTGAACTCAAATAATGGCCCATTGCGGTGCTACAAGAATAGCGTTGGTACGTACATAGACTGAGAGGTCAGTATAAAAGCAACGATCCGAAAATACGTTAATATATTATGTAAACACAAATAAAATTTATTTTAAACTGTTACCAGTTGTTAGTGTTCTTTCATCTGTTATTGTATGATTTTATCGTATATAAAAATTTTTTACAGCTTATTTCTTTTTTTGATTGAGAAATAAAATAATAAGGTACACTTAAATGCGTATCCAAAGTACAAAAACATCAATTCACACATATGTTTATCTATTCTAATACGCATACGATTTAAGGTCATATTGATTTTTGAATAGCTCATTTAGGTAGAGCGGTTCGTTTACATCTACCTGTAATATTTTCAATACTATTACACCCACATTCCCACTATCTACTCATCCTATTCTATACATATTTCACCAAAATCTTCTTTCTCCCCATTCCATCTCGTATTTTTGTCTTGCAATTAATTTAAAACTACAAAGCTACCAATTTGGTATAAAATTATTAAATATCGCATAAATATTATTATTTATTTATTAAGTAAGTAACAGTAGCATGTAAAAATTAAGTAAGATATTTCAGTAATATAACATTTTTTTTAGTATTATCAAAGTTTTTTAAAGAATAAAGAACTTTTTTGGAATCTATGGAAGCCATATAAAAAAATTGTATGTAAAATAATTTTAATAAGTATAAGTAAATTTGCTCAAATCACTGAATATTTATAGTTTTTATTAAAAATAATCAATGAGTGCAAGTAAACAAAATAGTGATTTATATTTATGTAGTCGTTATCTGCTTCAGTAGCACTACTAAGCCAAATACCTATACTCAAAATTCATGTAAGCTTTTAATAGTAATTTAAATAAATTACAAGTAAAAGTAATTTAATACTACTGTAAAAGTATACCCTTCTGTCTATCCTTAATTTATACCATACATCTCATCGAAAATAAATATTTATTTAATTTTTTTATCATTCAAAAAATTTTTTTGGCCCACTGTTAAACAGCGCATTGAAATACAATATATACCAACTGTTTATCGTTAGATAAAAAAAATATAAAATATATTGAGTACGCCTGTTTTGCAATCTTAACAAAAAAGAAATAATAAAATAATAATAATTCACACTTACTAGAACAAACAAGCAAATCCAAATTGCAGTTGAGAGTAACACGAAATGTACAACAGCAAATAAATTGCGCATAAACAAAATAAACTGAATGAATGACTGGACTTACCCGACTTTATTCATAATTTCGCTTCCCGCATTATTCAGTAAGCAATTTTGTAAGAAGTCTTCCGGTATAACCAGACGTTCGCTTAATGCTTTTCGCAAATCTTGCACTACTATTTGATTTCCCAAAGTTTTAGGACATTGTTCCACTGCTGTGCGTATCATAGTCTCGAGAGTTTCCTCCAAATAACTTTGAATAGTGTAACTTAAATCACTGGCAATGCGTGTTAACTTTATCTCAACCGGATGTGATTCGCAACGTACAGCTTCCTGCAATTTTGGCATCAACTGTTTACAATTTTCTGCATCATCGATTAGACGTTGTACTGCAGACATAGAATCGCAACCTCTTGCAATTGAAATTGTATCCTGAGTTTCAGCCACTAATTTATCGACCAACTGATGTGTAGAAGACAGCATAAAACCATGTTGTAAACGAAAACCTTGCCCAGCAGCGCGTTTTAAACCATTACAATTACGTTGTAAAAGTTCTTGCATTTTACGCATAATCCCATCGGTTTTTTCGGGATGATTTTTTAAATGTGGTGCTATATCAAACACAGGAAATGGTATGGTGCGCATGCTATGATTATTTTCTAAAGCATATACAATATCTGCATAACCTTGTAACGTTATATTATTTTTATCCATATAAATAGTACGTAATTTATTGTTTATCTGCAGTGCTTTGGCTAAGAGACGTGCACCGACATCGCCCATGTAATTACCGCTAATATCTGTAATTAAGTAATTTATATATTTTAATTATATCATTAGAAAATATTTACATTTTTGCTGTCCTACTTACCCAATTTTTGTAGGCTTTGATTGCTGCCTAAAGCATTTATGAAGTCATGTATATCATTTTTCAGTTTATTCTCAGAGAGCACTAATTCCGCAAGAGGAAAATCATCTTTTTGTATTAAATTGACAAGTGCATCCATTACAGTTGGAATGTGTTTCATTTTCATGCCTGTAAGACTGCGGCACATATATAGTGTTCGTATAGATGGATTTTTTGATATCGCTGTTAAAACTGGAGCTAATTCAGCATCTAAATCTATACAAACAAATAACAGTTATAAGATAATTAAGTCTTAAATCAGAATTAATTAAAATACGGAAAGGAAATTACTTAAGCATTGAACTATGCTAATAAAAACGTGAATTTAATATATTGTTTTTCAAAATAATATGTATTCAAAGTTAGATTTGTGCATTATTTAAATTTATTAATTTTAAAGATCTAAAAACGTCGAATCTGTACAAAATATATATATATGAATTCCAAAAAAAAAATTATCAGAAGTATTCTCAGCAAAAGAACAAATATTAATATATACTAATATTAATATATCCGTGATCATTTTTTTAAAGGAACAATACGTAAATGGAACAATATAATGAAATGAAAAAAAATTTAAACTAAAATAGGCAAGCTACAATTAATCAAGTTTAAAAACCCTACTAGGCAAAATCAAAGTAGAGGCAGCAAATTTCTTGACAGTACTGACAGACCACTGACCGATCAATACTAGAAATTTCAACTAGATATACAGCAGCTGTAGGAAAGAAGAAGAAAAAGAAATAACAGAACAGTTTCTTTGCAATTTTGCAATTGCCTAGGCCTAACAAGACTAAGACTTTATAATATGCAAATCCACAAACTAAGGAGCCTAGCGGTTATCTCAAACATAGATCTTCAAAAAACAAACTACTTTAACAATCGCACATGTTAGTCTTAAAACTGAGATTTTCATAACCGGTTTGTATAACACGATTTTGCGTTCCTTTCACCGAAGAGAGAGCTCTGTCACTACTAAAACCAACCAATCAAGTGAAATCTTTTTACTTTCTGATTCTAGCAAATAAGCTATGGTACATCGTAGCTACATCGAATAAGAGACTAAGAAAGATTTATATTTATATTTTATTCGACGTTCCTTTCATCGATGAGGAAACTCTGCCACTACTATAACCAACAGATCAAGTGAAATCGTTTTAGTTTTCTAGCAAGTTAGAATAAAAATACTTGACTCCGCTTTTCGCAAGGTCATCACACTCTTTTTTGAAATTGATTATTCAAATAAGAAGTCCTTCAAATTCTTGGAAGAAACCATGACTTTTTTCAAAAGAATATGCTATTTTCTTCTAAGAATTTCGACGACTTCTCGTTTGAATTACCTGTGTATTTCAAAAAAGGTTCGATAATCTTACGAGACGGAGTCAAGTATTTTTAACATAATTTGCTAGAAAAGTAAAACGATTTCAATTGATATGTTCGATTTAGTAGCAGAGCTGAAAGGATGAAAGAACGTCGAATAAAACATAAATGTTTTCTTGTTCTATTATTTGATGTAGCTATGACCATAATTATGAAACAAGGCTTTTAAATCAATTGACTAAAACACTTTACATCAAAATTTTTCTTAATTACTGATAACAATTACTAAATTGTTATTTTCACTTATTTGTTAGTACTTACTATTGTCACTAATATCTAAACTTTGAAGAACACGAACACCATGTATGCATGATTCCAAAACGTGTGCGCCCTGGGCACCTAATGTATTGCCACTTAAATCTAAGTACAGCCCAGCTGTTGACTCGTTGCATGCTAAGCCAAGTAGTAAATTTCTGCAAATCACAAATAATATTATTAAATAAAAAAGGAATTAAAATTTATTAATTATTACTTCAATGCCTCCATTGGTAATTTACAACCGGCAATATTTAAATGTTTTAAACTTAATGTACTCGTAAAAAATTGCTTGAACGATGGTGGTATCTCTTTGCCTTTTTTTGTGCTAAATGAATTGTGTGAAACATTTAAGTGAGCTAAATGCGTTGCACAACCACGTAAGAGGGCACCAAATAACTATAATAAAAAAGATTCATAGGTTATAAGTATATTTAAAAAAATTTTAAATTCTAAATACTTACATTCTCTAAAGTTATATCAGTCGAAGAGAGATCCAAATATTCTAAAACATTTGGTTGTGCCAGAAAGTTATGTAGATTCTACAAAACAAAAAAAAAAAAATTTTATTATATTAAATATGTTTATTTAATTAATTAATACTTACAGTAATATCATCCTTGAGACTATTGCCACTTAAATCTAAATATGTGAGCGAATTCGAAATACTTTGATTTAAAGATAACGAATGTGACATTTGATTGACTCCTTTCGATGTTAGACCACAATGTGCAAGTGCTAATTTGCATAAGCCCTTGGATACTTTGGCAATGGGACCGGCAAGGTGTATAGCACCTATTAAAATTTTGCGTACAATTTAATTACATATTTGTTTTTTTATTTAATTTAAAAAATTTAAGGCAAAACATTCAAAAATGTTAAATAATGAATTAAAGAAGAATACTTTATAATGTTGTTAATGGATATATACATATTGAGTTTTAAGTTGTGCCAATGATATGATATCTTCTTAATTTCATTAAAAATAAAAATGAATTTTTAGTTAAAAACGCTATAAAAAAGCATATTTTATCTATAATATATAACATTAAGTTATCAAGCAAAGTTTTAAGCGTTTTGGCATATTTAAATTATCCGTGTTTTATTTGGAACGCATATGCGCTTAATTACGAAAAAAGTTGCCAATTACATTTTCAATTTTTAAAGTGTTTCCACCAAAGTGTATTACAAGCGTTGCCAATATATTTTTTCAAATATAATATGTTTTTTTTTTCAAACAACTATTGCATGATTTTATACAAATATTTAAAGATAATAAGATTTTTAGTCTCAGTTAATTTAAGATATAATAAATTTCAAAAATAAATATATTTTTTATTTCATGTTTAAATTTAGCCAAAACGCTTTTTAATAAAATATTTAGGAACAGCTATTTTATATGCTACATTTTAATTCATTTTTAATCTTCTTATTAGAATTTGCACTAAATTAGTTTTTAGTATTTATTAGTATTGAAATTAATTAGTATTAGTATTAGAATTAGTATTTATTACATAAAATATTACATAAAACGCAGTATTCTAATCAAACTCGTATCTTTGTAATAACACTACCTTTAATAGGACACTACGTATTATCTTTCAGAAAAAAAGACAACAGCCTAGGATAGCAAAAATAGTGCAGTATTCTAATGCAGTATTCTAATCAAACTCGTATCTCTGTAATAACACTATCTTTAATAGGTCACTACGTATTATCTTTCAGGAAAAAAGACAACAGCCTAAATTGTGAATTGTAAAATGTTTCATTACGAATTATAACCAATATTCTATTCATCTGTGACTCCAACTAACCAGATTGGCATTAAACTCTTGTTACAAGTTAGATTTAATCTCTAAATACACTTACACCGAAAAATGGTTGCTTTCTCATTACTTAATTGTATCTAATCCTAAATCTCAACATTTTTCCTTATTCCCAAGTATTGATATAGGGCTTTCTGTTTGCTGCGCCACCACAACATTATGAAATTATATTCATAAGTCTCCAATTACATTTTTTTAAAAATACTTATTAGTCATAGTCTCCAAAAGTTTCTCTACCTAATTAGCTACAATGACAATGCATAAATAAAACTCCACATAAACTCGTCTAGAAGACTTTTCAAGGTACTATGATACAATAGGACGAATGACATCTTCAGGGACCTCAAGATTGATCCGATCAAAAAATACAAAAACGATAGAGCACAGAAATTATTTACGAATACTGACAGATTTACCAACACCGCGTTTTCGAGTCTCAGAAAGATTACAGGCTCCTTGGGGAGATATGCAGATCTGAGGTCAATTATTGCTTAGTCTGATGAAGGAATAAATAATAATCCAGTCAAGGCGTAGAGAGGGGTTATGAAGAAAATCTCGCAGTTAATAGAAAGTAAAAGTGGTCAAGTGCAACTAGCCTCAATGTAATATTATATATTACATATATGTTATATATATATCATTATAAAAAAAATTATACATATATTTTGTAGTACATATTATATATATACTATATATTATATATATATTTCATATTACATATATTCACCTCCAATATATTTATATATGTTATATTTTAACTAATTAATATTTATGGGGAGGAGTTCAAAAACTATACGAATACCGAATAAATCATTATTTATAGTAATGCAATTTACTAATCCCAATTAAAAACTTTTAATAAATAGCTGCCATTACAAATTTATTTAATTGTAGTAGTTCAGATAAAAATGTTTAAGAGCTTAAAATGTAGCATATAAAATTACTAAAATATAAAATCTAAATTATACAATTATACAATCTATATATGAAGCTTTAAAAGAATTGAAATCAAAATTCTATTTAAAAGACTTGAAGCATTGATAATAAGAAATTTAAAATTTGGTAAATTTTTTACAAATATTTCTGATTGATTTCATTTAAATGATTGACACAAAACGATTAAATCAAACCTTGCACAATTTTTCCAAGTAGGGCGCACAATGAGCTTGCTCCTACATTACAAATAAAATTCAATTTAATTGGATTAAATGGATTTAAGGTTAGTAAAAAGTATTTTAACTGTATTTACAAAAGCAAAATTTTATGATAACAAATTATATTTTGGGGCACATACATATAAATTGAATATTAGGTTACTGTATATATTAACTTTGTTATATATTTAGTAATAAAATAAATAGACAATAATAAGTATATAAGCAATTATTTACCTTTGTCTTCGATTAAATTATGACTTAAATCAATAGTACGTATAGCGGGATTGTTGTTCGTAATCACAGAAACAGCTAATTTATGTAGAAAATCCGATCTAAAACAATTATAAAATAATATTAGTATATTTTCTAAATAAATTTAAAATAATAAATAAACAAAGAAATACCTTAAACCTAAGGCTTCCAAATGTAGCTCCTCCAGCCACATTGAACGCTTGAGCACGTGCAGGATTCGTTCTAAAGTTTCGTTTGAGAGTCTCATATGTGATGCTTTTAGGCCACGAAAAAATGTGTTATATTCCAAAGCCGAAACGATGGCCATTAAGTCTCTATGATGATATAAACATTTAATAATTAATTAATTATTTAATTATTTTTAATTATTTATTATAATTACTTTGGTTCCAAATGATCGAAATCACGTAAATTTAGTATGCGCGTATCATGTGACAAATATATCGTATCAATATCCCAGGCAACCTCTTCTCTGTAATATAAAATAAATGATATAATTATTATTATGATATTTCTCAATAGATGCTACACTTATAGATACTAACCTATAGGGCACACCATGGAAATCACACATGCAGGCATATTGTGTGCTAAAACCTCCGCAAGGACCAACATTACGCGGATCTGAGGGTCGAAATTCTTCTGAAAATATTGTTTCCCGTTCAGGTGGTTGTATATCAATCTATAAAATAAAGAAAAGTAAAAATTATTTTTCGTTTTGGTTTAAATTATTTTTTTTATAAATAATTAAACTTTTAAATTATTTTTTTAAATTTAAAATAATTGAAATATTTATATTTAACTTTAAATATGTATTAGAATTTCTTCTTAAATTTTAAGACTTCATAGTAAAAATTTGTTTAAAAATTCCATTCGTATAAAAACCTATAATTGAAGAACACTGTTAAAAAGCTAAAAAGAAGAATATAGTATAACTGATTAACCTTCTTTATAGAGCTATTAGGTAAATTTTTTAATTTTATTAGGTGACATAAATGGTCATTTAAGTTTTTTTTTATATATTAGTATATAAATATACAAACATTTATTTGTTTCAAAAACATCGATTTCATTTTTGGAAGAAACCATTATCTTTTCCCTCAATCCCTAAAGTATTCCCTTTCTAAATATGCAATTACACGATTGTAGTTTCCAGTTTAAGAAATATTGTTGGATCACCCTATGAAGAATAATCTGAAACTCTGTGATTTCATCGTTGTTGCATCTATTATTAAAAAATTTTGTTCTTAGAATGTCTTTTTGAATTTGGAAAAGTCGCCGGGTGCTATGTCTAAAGTACAGAGTGTTTGCGGGATTTTGGTAATGTTCTGCTTTGGCACGAAATGCTAAACAAGCCAAGCGAGATATACAGCAACTCCAAAACAAGTTTTACTGTTACTCACTTCATATGCAAAACATTCGTAAAAATGATTTCGCTTAAGTAGACATTCCTATTTTTCTAGCAACTTATTTTTTTTAAAGATCATTATTCTATTTACAGGTATAAATTTTATTAAATTTTTTATTAGTTAACATATTAGGTTGCCGATATTATTGTACTCACTTTCAACTTAGTAGATTTTTTAATAAGAAAAAATCCAAAATCTTTTGATTTTGTTATAAAGATTCAAACGCAATCGGACTATCAGATACCAATAGACTCTGGAAAATGCGATTTGATGCTGTTTATGGACTTGTACTTATAAAAAATGAAGAAAATCGTAATATCGCCGTCAATGGTAACTGAACAGAGCATCTTTGGAACAGAGCCAACGATTTCACAGGTTTCAAGAGACTGAGCTATAAGATATTGTCAGAGAAATCTATGAAAATTAAAGTAAGTATTCGATAACTATAGTATCTCCAAAAATGGAGTTTTTTGGGGTTAAATGTCTCTAGAAATATTTGAAATCATTGATGCATGCGAACGATATTTGTTAAATAGTTGCAATTATAGTTATTAAATAGTTGCAAGCAGACATTAAGTGCATACTTCGAAAACACAAGGGTATCTTTGAAAAAATTATAAAAAACTATGGCTCCATAACGCAGAGTCTAAGAAAGATATCTCATCGATAATTTACCGAACTTATTTTTAATGACAAAAATTATATATCGAATAAAAATATACAACTCGTTTGCGTATTTGCATATTTATAAACAATGATAGTTCACCACTGTTCGAAAAATCTCTTTATGAAATATACTAGTTTCTATTAAATATAATGGTCACGTCCGTCAGAAAAATATGATGTTAAATTTACACTTATATTCATAAAATTTTGGTCTCGCCCGTGCGACTCGTGGAGTAACATTAATATGGCTTTCTCCGTATTTCGTTCCTAGATTAGGTTCATTAATATGAGAGAATATATAAATCATGCCACAAATAATGCCCCTACAAACAGAATAGTATTGACATTTAATAATTAAAAATAAACATATAATTAATTAAATTAATTATTCTACAGCTGGTTTATGATTTCGTTCTAATATAAACACAGCAAGTAAAATTGTTAATAAAACTTTCACAGCACATTAACAAAACTTCAGAAGAATGTGCGAACATAAAAGTGAAGTACGGCTTTGAGTCAGTTGGGTAAGGAGCGCTGACTCTGAGCTTCAAATTTGGCAGGGCACGAGTTCGATTCTTGGTACTTCCAGTCTCAAAAAATTATTAACAAATAACTAAATGTAAGTATCATTTTGGAATAGCACTGCGAACACTTGGGATTAATTAAATTTTTTTTAAATGCATTATTAGGTTTACCCATATACGAGTAATATTTAAATGCAAATATTCTCTTAAGTAGGGTGTAGTGTGCATTTACAAAGTTATTGCATGTACAAAACTATTTTGATGTTATTGTGTACAACTGACAAGAAAACTTTTAAGGCATTATTTTACTAGACACCAATTGACTTTTTAAGTAACTAAAACTTTTAGATATCAAAAACTTAGAGTTTCATGTTATAGCTTAGATGTTATACAATCGTTAGCAGAAAAAATTGTTGACTTAGTAAAACAGTATAAAGTTTTTCGATAAATCGCAATATTAGACACAAACACAAAAAACATTAAATATAAAAAAAAAAAAATTGTAAACAAGTAGTTAAAATATATTAAATTACTTAGCGAATACTTGTGCTCACAATTGCACTTAGATTAAATCAAGTATAAAATATCTCTACATGCCACTAATTAAAAATATATTCTGCTTGTATATAAGACGATAAAGTTATATATAGAAATTCCTAAAACAAAATATGGATGGAATTACACACATACACTGCATGCCCTTAGCTCTAATACTACGAATTTTGTGAGTCAAAGTCAAGTCAACATTTGTGCAAAGTTTTATTATAATTGGTTTCTAAGGACATTATTTCTCATTTGTGGATATGTGCAAATTTGACCTTTGTGTATATTTGCGTATTTGTATTGGTAGGACTACAATAATAAGATTGAATAGCCTCAAGTCAATTTCCAAGCAATAGATAAAAGTATGTTAAACTAAACTTATAAAAGTTATTATTGTTACAAATATACGAAAATAGAACACTGCAGAAAAACATATACTTTAAATATACATAAATATGCGGAAGCGATAGAAATTTGTTACAAAAAAAATTAAAAATTTATCAAAGTATTTTTTTAATTTTGACATATATAAGTACTTTTACGCCACCAACTATACAGTTGATTAATGGGTAGAGTTTAGATGATATCGAAAACTTTACTTGGTTTGAAACTGTCCCCTATTTGGAAGGAGGTACAAATAAAGACATATTTAGTAAAATTAAGAAAATGCGATATGAATTTAAAAAAGTTTAGAATATTTGAACCGTTAGCTTGCCATCACCATTACGAAATATAAAGCTTTTGACGCATACATAAAATCTATTTCGATATATGGTTTACAAACTTGTTTGAAGATTACCATAACATAATCAATCAATACCCACTAACACCCACTCATCCTACAGATTTTATTAACAATAACTAATGAAGAGCTGCGAGTACTTGTTTATGAATTATGCATGCTAAATATTCTATAGGTTTCGACCTATACCACTAATTAGCCGTGAAGATTCTTTTATTAATCAATGCCAGCCAAATAATCTACAGATCCAGAGGCAAACAACAATAACTACTGAATAGCTATGAACGCTCTTTTATTAATTGACACCTACTAAATATTCTGCAAATTTATTAAAGTTATTGGTCAGTGAGATGGATAGACACACTGGATTAAGTTTTGAGACAAGGTTTCTGCGAATTAGTTTGCGCTTAGGGCCACACTCTATAATTTTTGCATATTGGTAAGAAAATGAAAGATCAAGTAATTTTTGAATGTAATTGTGCAAACTCTTTTTCAACCGTTTGAAAATTTTAAGCAAAAATATAGTTTAATATATTATAAAAATTGATTAATTTTCAGAAGTAATTCAATAAGCCTACAATAGAAATAATAATAATTCTGTCTAGTTCTGTTAATGATTTCTCAAAAATAAGCAAAACTTCTCAGATCATAGCAAATTATTTTATCAATAGGTTTCGCGTTATAGACTAAAATGTGTACTACAACAAAAAAATACTACTACTATATAATAATACATAACTATACAACCGACATTCTTGGAAAAAGACTCGATGAGCGCAAATAAAACATGTAGTAGAGATAGCAACAAAAAGAAATGCTGCCTTAAGCAAACTAATGGCTAATACAACAGGACCCGTTGCGGAAAAACGAAAATTGCTGATGGCAACAGAATCGCCATCCTGCTATATGGTAGCGAAATCTGAGCAGACGCACTCGATATCGAAACACGTAGAAAAAAAATAATAGCGTAGCATAGAAGGGCGGCTCTACGTATCACATCAGCGTATTGCACTGTCTCGTCGGAAACAGTTTTTGTAATAGCAAGTGTAACTCCAACTGGTCTTCAAGGGAGTGCCAAGGACTATACAACAACAAAATATACCATAATATAATAATATAATATAATACTGTAATATAATACTATAATATACTATACTCAACAATTAGCAAGAGAAGATCAGGAGCAAATCATCGAGATGTGTAAACAAAAATGGAACTCAAAGAAGATGAACAGCTAGATTGATACCAAATATAGTCATCTGGCTCAAACGAAAATCGGGAGGCACAAATTACTATTTCATTCAGATACTGACCAGACTTGGATATTTTTGTAAGTACCTAGAAGGCCGACTGCATTTATGACGACGTAGACTGTGACACCTTCTTTTACAGTAATAGATGGCTCATCTAGTAAAAAATAAGACGAGAGCGAACTCAGAGAGCTGGCGAAGAATATGTGACATTGCAGATACCAAGAAATTGCAGTGAAAAAGTGGAGGTGTGGATGCAGATCGAAAATCATAAGAGCATGACATTAAAGAAACCCTCCTCGAACTAATGCGTAAGTCTTACGTGGTGCGAATCTTAAAAAGGGTTAGAAAACACTATTTTACCAACTTGTTGTCTTGTGTTAAGTTGTTAGGCCTGTGAAAGGAGTATAGATATTAATTATTATAATAAAAAAATGAAAATGTCATAAGTTGACCATTATTAGACCATTAACAAATCAAAATCTTTCTTAGTAAACTCTTACTTATACTAAATATTAGTACATAATATGTTAATTTTTATATTATATGAAGATATATAAAAAGTTTTCAACTGAACTACTTTTATTAAACCCACCAATAGTAGCAAAAACTTATTTTTAATTATAAACAAATAAAATTGTATCTCCGTTTAATGCTTGAATACATACGTGATGATATTCGACCTAACTTTCATAATAATATCTTTTTTATTTAGTTGCTATTACTTTTGTTAAAATAAGTATCTATAAATTTGAAAGCTAACAAAGGGGTTTACCTTTATTAGCTCGTACTTCCATATGACGTCATATATGTATAGACGTCTGTTTCTATGAAAATATATTTTAATATTTTGTTTTCATAATGGAAAATCGAAATAAAAGCTCTAAGCTAAGTTCTCTTAATATCTAAATAAATGTGCGAACGAACCATTGTTGATTGTTTTTTGTACTCATGGCAAAAATACAATAATGCGCCGTCTAGAGTACCATATGTATGGGTATGAGGTTGCTATTGTTGGTTGTCGCTGTTGTTTATTTGTTTATCTGAATGTTGTTGCAATTGCCATTGTTTTCATGTTTATGTTAAGCTATTTAAAAAGCCTCAACACCTTTGGAATAATTAGCGTTTGCGTGGGTTAAGCATTAACGTTACAAGTTGCTTTGTAAGTTAATGGGTTAAGTGGGAAAAATGTAAGCATATTTACATATTTGTTTACATTTATTAGTTGTTAAAAATATTTAAAAGAATACTTAGAAAACGTTAAGAAAACAGATTAAGCTAAGAAGACATTGCAGATAATCATGAATAATTCATTTTTTGTAATGAAATACTTTTCGCTTTTAACATAGATCGAGACAACTTTGAGCAACTACTTAAATAGAGGTTGCTACTACTATATACTAATAGTTTTTATCTTCATATTTAAAAGTGTTATATTTTAATTCAATTATATTTTGATGTTAACTTCATCTGATTCATTAATAAATTTTAAACAAATTTGTCTGACAAACACAGATGTTTTAACTATTTATTAAAACAAACATAAAAAACATCTTCATAGAAAATTTAAGATGCGATTTGTCATTACAGATTAGCTGAATCAAATAAGGTATCCATATCTTAGAACAAACGAAATATACCTATATATGTATTAGAGTATAAACACTAAGTAAAACAGGAAATAAAAAGCATAATAACACAAATGGCAAAAGACCACAAATGCCCATACTATAAACGATTAGATCGTTACCTCTATAAACCATTTGACGTGCTGTTGTAATAGTTCAAACAGATAGAATGACATCGTTAATAGAGTGTTATCTCTTTTTAAAGATTTATATGTAATAACAAATATAATAATCAAACTAATGCCTGAAGAAAAAATAATCAATCACGAATCATTTTTTAATCTATATATATATATATATACATATATAAAATAAATAAATAAAGACCTAGCTACTCCTAGATGTATTAGACTTAAATTCGAGAGCACGGTTGCATTGCAGCAAAATTCTAAACAGACCTTCATCTGATATCTCCAGTGATCAGCGAAGCCTTCCTCGTACAGGAAGAACTGCCCCAATTGAGGCCAAAATATAGACATATGTAAAACAGGTACCTGTCAAGCAAAAATGCGTCAATTGCCAATGTGCACCGAAAATGCAAACCAACCTCCAACAATGCAACCCAATTATTGTCATACTTCAATGAAACATCTCTCAATTGATCACCACTTTGAGTTCAATTGATGTTTGACGCCGTCACATCAAATTGGCTACATTTCTTTACTTCGACCTAGACTAATCACAATAAAAATTCCACTCACTCCTTTACCTTACTAACATATTTCCTGAGCTGTGTTCGTATTTGTACACAGAATTTTTATTCACAGCTTATTTTATCCAAATTATCATTTACACTTAGTCGCCAGTACATAAGAAAAAAAAATCAAAGAAGTCGACTTGCTTATGCTAAGGAGGATGTCCACAAAAAATTAGACTTCTGGAACAGCGTCATATTCTCAAACGAGTCTAAATTCAATATTTCTAGCTTAGATGGCATGACTTACGTGCGGCGGAAACCTAATACTGAGCTCAAAACAAAAAATTTAAAAGCTATAGTAAAGCATGGCGTTAGAAGGGTTATAGTTTGGGCCTATATGTCAGCCGCTGGCGTTGGGAATCTGGAGTTTATTGACGGTAACATGAACAAACCAATGTACCACAACGTTTTGAAAAAAAATTTACTCCAGAGTGCCGTGAAACTGGGAATTCTTGAAACATTTAGCTTCTACCAAGACAACGACTCAAAATATAAGGCCGGCATCATACAGTCTTGGTTGATTTGGAACTGCCCACATATAATGAAACCGCCGGCGCAGAGTCTAGACATGAATGTCATTGAAAATTTATGGGCAATATTAGAACAAAACATTCGGTAATATACTATTTCCAACAAAGAAGACTTAAAAAAGGCAATTATACAAGAGTGGATGAAAATTACTCCAGAAACAACCCAAAAACTTGTAGGTGCAATGGCGAAGAGACTTGACGAAGTGATAAGAGCGAATGGGTATCATACCAAGTATTGACTTTGGCACCAAATTAAATTTCTTTTTGTGGATGAAATAAGCTGAAGCATGTAAAAATAGGAGTAGTTTTATAGTTTATGTTTATTATTTATTAAAAGAACATTTTCGGTATTTTTGAAGTCTCTAAATTAATAATAAATATTTTTCCTTAAAAATGGCATTTAAATATTTTTAATCGATGATATAGTTTTTCAGTAATAGCGTAAAAAATTTTAAAATTGGCATTGGATGAAGTAAGCTGAGAGCCACTGTAGATCTTTCCTGCATATTTTAAGTTATCCAACCTTCTTTTTTCTTCCAATCAAAGATTTAAAAAAAAGGCTCGGTCTAAATTATTATATTTACCAAATTAATATAAGGAATCTTAAGCTAGTATGTGAAGTAGGTGAAACACTATGTTAAACCCATATTAATTGGCGATAATCAATAAGATGATTTATATCAAATTAACAGCAAAAATGATAATAGATATCAGATTAATTGATGACGCAGTATGTGAAGTATGTGGACGATAAATTGTGACAAGATCCAAACCAAATTAATACTAGAAATTATCCCAATTCTTAGATGAATTCATCACGCAATATGTTAACTATGTCAAAGACTTTGTGTACGAAGTGAGTAGAAAGATTCAGACTAGTTTAATTCTATAAATTATATTAAATATTAGTGTAAGAGTCTTGTTATGGAGACAGTTATGGGTACTGCATATGTAAAATAGGTATTGCCTGCATAATGAGTTAAAAATTTAAAAAAATTGGATTATATGGAGCCACAATGACAGCTCTTTCGGCACCTCTTTAATTTATTCAAAACAGTGTTTATTACTAACAAATGTCACAATTCATGCTTTTAAGAAGTAAGTTATTATAAATGTGAGTATATCTACATAAAAAATATATTCTTGATGAAGATTTGTGTTGATGGAGATTTGATTCTCTACATAATATCCCTTCATACTCTCGATTAGCAAAATTGTCAAACTGCAGTGACTGTTCTTTATGAGACTGTCTGAAGTTTGACTTTATATGAAGCTTGAAAGACTTCAAACTAGGCAATAATCAGTAGAAATATTCAGACCAAATTAATGTCAAAAATTATAAAAAAATTTCAAAAAAGATACGTTGTGGATGAAATTTCATACCAAGTTTTAATAAATTTAGAGCACTTAATATAAAAAATATATAATTTGTTTATATAAAATATAAAAGAATTTATAAGAAAACTATAAATTCGTAAAATCATTTTGTATTTTTTTGGTGAAAGAAAGAAAGAAATAAAGTTTGAACCACTTTTTAATTAAAAACTGAAATACTTTTATATAATATTTAACCTATATTATATCAGTTACATAAAGGTAGAGTATGACACCATTTTAAATTGAATATTATTCCATTTTTATTTATTCTTTCATTGAATGACTTATATAAACGGCCATATATACATATGTGTAATTACATATATATTTTATCATAATTTAGTATGACCTATCATTCGTTACAAATATTGGGTGAAAAGCCGTTGAACTTTTTAAACATTGAATTAAACTTTAATTAAACTACAGACTTTTAGTGCACATGAATTTGTATGTACGCATTTGTACTGGTATCGGCATGGGCTTTATGCATTACTTAATGCTCGAAATTATGTGCGGAAATCTACTTTTATGCCGCTCATAGTACTTCATAGCCGAGGATGTATGTAAATGGAATTTTGTGCTCCCTGGGCGCAAAACATGCAGAACATGTTTTATATTTATATTGCGATACTTAAAGAGCTACTACAACATATATTACTAAATACTTAAATATGCATATTTTGCGTTACATGCTTGTGTGAAATGAGCTTTGAGTAGAGGAAAAGGTTCTTTCAGGATAAAAATTAACATTATATGAAGTTTGTTCAAACTTAAGGCACTATGTTAGTTGCAAAGGTAGTTCATGTCTTGTAAAATAATACAATTAGGAATTAAATAAAGTTTTTAAACATATAAGAAAGACAAATATATGTAGAAAAATTGACTTAAGAACCTGAAGGCACTTTCTTAATTAAATATTTAAATTTACGACAATGTGATTATACCATACTTAAGGGGAAAAAATTTTATATAATTTTTATTATAAATTGCAAAACTTTAAAAAAATTACACAGTATATAAACTTACTTTTCTTATTATGTACTTCAAAGGAACTGTGGGAAATATTTGTTTTATTGCCGATGCTAAATCTGTTAAAATGACATCAGCATTCTGTGAAAATTAAATAAAATATACATTAATATAAAATAAAAAGGGTATAATAATAAATAAAAATTCTAAAAAAATTATTATTACAAAGTTTTAGCAATAAAACGTACCGAACTAAAATTCCCCGCATCTCCTGTTGTGGCAAATGAATATGGTCGATCATTTGTAATGATGGAAAAATGTGTGGGTTTCTTACTCTCTACCGCTTGTATGTCTAAATAGTGAAAATGACACTCGATCTAAAAAATAAATAAAAACAATTTCAATCTAATATATATCTTTTTATTGACATGTGTATTAACTTACTTTTGTGGGCACTTTCGCTACTAGTAAATATATGCGTACTGGTGTGAAAACCTGCAATGAAAATATTAAATAAATTATTAGCAATTTTCGTAAAATATTAATTAAATATGCATAATTATAAATAATTTATTCTGCATAGAATATAAAAATATTTTAATATTCAATATATGTAGGTAGTAAGTAATACCAAATTAATTAAATTTTGTGTAGACAAAAATACATTTTATTAAGTGCAGCATATACAACAACAAAATTACTGTACTACACCGTACATATAGTCCTAATATAGTAATTCTAGTACAACAAAAACGATTATGGCTCGTATTAATAATCATATCATATAAAAAATAAAGTGTTAATCGAAAAAAAACACTTTTTTTCGTATATATCTGAACTATACACATAGTACCTAGTGCGTATTAGGTCTTATATATTTAAAAGTCTAAAAATATAATACAAAAAATTAATTTGTTAATGAACTTTCATAGTAAATTAACAAAAACCTTAGAGTGCCAACATACAAGTCAAGTACACTGACTCTGAGCTTCAAATTTGGCAGGGCACGATTTTAATGAAATGGACATCAGTATATTTTGAAGAGTTTTAAATAAAGGTTGGCTTTCTCAAATAAAAAATGAATATCATTGTTATATAATCGTATATATAAAAATATCACTGCATCTAACCAATTAAAAGCCTTTAGTAATATATGTATGTATAAGATTTTCTATTTAAATAAAAGTCTAGGCATAGAAATAGTCTATACTCTCAAAATGTGACTGAATTTTTAAAATTTAATATACGAGTAAGCTCAAAGTTTTAATTAATTTAGAATTTTTAATGTGGATTTAAAAACTTTCAGCAGAAATATATAGTACAGATTTTAATGAAGTTTAAAAAATATAGATGAGCTATTGACAACTTTAAATTAAATAAAAGTTGCTAAATTGCTCATATACATTTATTTTTTTAAAAAATAACATTAATTATAAATATCAATTAATTAAGAATTGATCCTTATTAATTATAGAATTATATTTACTTACTTAGTAAGTAAGTAAGTAAGTAAGTATTATAGAATTATAAGAATTTTAAAAAGAATTCAACTCGTCAAATTAACTAAACATATGTTTTCTTTATCAAAGAAATAAAAATTTAAATATATTAACTTAATTCGTAGCGAAATAGAAGTCTATTTAATATTCCTAGCTCACTCCCAGTTCAACCTTTGACACTGACATTGTACGTTTAAGAACAGTGTAGACAGACAGCTACTTATTTAAAAGATAAATAAAAGATTTACTGATTAGAGGGTGATATCCTTTGACTTGCGTGCTGAGGATTAAATACACTACAGTAATAATAATTAACCATTAATACAGCCCATCAATGGCAACGCTTTCTTGCACTTAATGTTGCAGTAACTTCAATCCATGTGAACACATAAGACTTTCAAGTGTTTGTTGTATATATGAGGGTTTAATACTATCAATTACCAATTTACTTTTTTAACCAATCAAGCATTAAATTCCTTAATCTTTTGTTAAAAAATGAAGCATAGTATAAAAAAAAAGCAAACGCATGTTTGTAAACTCGAAGGATATTCTTACATTATGTTTTCTCAAGTAGAAAACTAACTCAAAATATCAAATTACCGATTCAACATTATTCAAGGGAAGTAGAATATTTGGAACAATAAAAACAATGGAAATTGAGTTAAAGTTTTTGTAAAAGTAAGACATTAAAAATTTAATTAATTTTCTACAATTGAATTATTAAGGAAATAGGAGTGAGAAATTTAGAAAGTTTCAAAAGGCTTTTATCGTCACTAACAAGAGCAAACGTTTGCTTGACAGAAGTTGTTGACTCCATTGCCTTAAATGCACGAATAGAATCAAAAGCCTTACTAAATTATATTTCTATTTTTTGGAGTATAAGAAAACATAAGGTGCATTAGTACGTTATGAACTAAATAAGTGCCTTTTGGGAAAAAGACAAATTACTACTTGAGGAAGTGTTCTCTGAGTGTAAATATCAATTAAAACATTGATGAACTATATGAAATGCGAAAGTTAATTTAATAATTGATTCTATTATAAAACAAGTAAGCTATAATTTTGTCGTAGTTTCATTACATTTAACAATGAATAGTTTCATTACTAATAAATTATTTTATTTATTTACAATATTTTTTATCTATATTTCTAAATTTGCATAAAATACAATTATTCAGATTGTTAATTGAAATCGTGCCACTGGGATCCATTTTCAATATGCACTCTACGAAAACAATCAACATCGCAAAAAGGGTGTATTCAAATAACTTAAAGATCAATATCAGCAAAACAAAATACATGTGTTATCATTAGTCATAAAAATGTTTACAATAATTCCACACTGATAATAAATAACAATCTGTCGGAAAAAGTCAATAAAAGAAAATATCAACAGAACAAATGTTTCACATAGATATGGTTAAAGCTGTATTAACAGTTCCAAGAAGCCATGATTTTAATTTGAATTTATTAACATCCTTTAATAAATTATATGTGAAGACAGACACTTGGCACAAGTACATACAAGTCAAAAGAAGTAGTTGTGCAAAAACACTATAATGCTTACAACCACTTTTCAAACACAACAACCTTAGTGCAAAGAACAGAAAGCTGATCTACAGCCAGATAATTAGACCAGCACTACTTTATGGGTGTGTCGCGTATAGCAAAGCTGCCAACTCTACTATCCAGAAGTTGCTTAAAGCCATGCTCTCCAAAGACTCTTTAAAGTGCCATGGTACATCCGCACGAATGACATGCTAAGAGATCTTAGAATAGATCCGGTTAAAAAATACATAAGGGACAAAGCCCTGAAGCTATATGAGAAAACCAACAGGCTGCCCTACTTAGCGCTATCTAATTTTAGAGTAATCACTAACCGCACGAGGCGGTACGCAGATCTTAGATCAATCATTGAATAATCACAAAGCTTATGAGGAATACACAAATTAGTCAGTGAGATGGGTGGACTCTGCAGAAACCCCACAGCTATCAAAGAGTAAAAGTGCCCAAATGCATTAAGTCGGAAGAGGCTCAACATTAGACATTAGACAGTCTTATTGTATGCCATGAAAAATTGGGCGATCAAAATTTCTGAAAGTGGATACATAGAAATCTATTTAAAATGACATGAACCAATCATATATTAAACAGCAAAGCATTACGAAGATTTAATGCGGATAAAAATTTCTGAGATATATCAAACAGAGAATATTATACGTTTAATACCTTAATTTTTTGTAACCCTTATTATCACCTGTGAACTTATATTGTATGAAAATATTTTAGATAAAGAAAGGAAGTTATCATGACTCAGAAATATAAGGCAAAATGGATTGGAGTGTGAAATAGATTGGAGTGTAAAATGGATTGAAAAGAGATATCTTTTAAAATATTATTGAAAACACATAAGATTATATTTTTTATGTATGAATTTGTTCTATATGACCATTAACATTTGCTAACGAATTAGAAATAAAGAAGAAATATACTTTATATATACAAATTTATATATATATTTATATATAAAAAATAAAATCATATATAATATGAATAATGATGTTAGGCCAAGTAAATTAAATGTAGTAACCAAAATTCATGCAATTCCTATGCGTCCAGAAGAACGATAATACTTTATTACACCACGGTATAGTAATAAATAATACTATTGGTAAATATTTTTTTCAATATAGCGGCACTTGAAGAGCAAAGACTTAAATCCGTGCAGCTCTCATAAATTATTTATGTAGGTATTTAAAATATAAATGTTTAATAAAAACTGTTTATAGAACACTACACACTGATTTTTTTTCACTCATTACCTACCTTTATTAATAAAATAAATTGCTATATTGAAAATTAAAAAGACTCAAAGGTCATCGGTCCATCAGCTACTCAGGTGCATTCAGAAAATACGTTAAGTTATGCTGTTGATAAACTAGTGCCATGATTAAAACATACTTGTCAAAAAGGGAAGAAACTCGGAAAGAAAACTATCAATGGACTATCCATGGAACAGAGTCATGAACAATGATATATTTCTTTTCTTTGTGTCGATGAACATGCGGTTGAGAGATTCTTGTGATACCAACAAATTATTAAGAAAAGTTGTTTTCAGCAATGAGTAAATGGTGTGATCTTCCAAATCTTCTAACTTGACGCTTGTAGAGCATTTTTATGAAAGTATTGAAAACCATTGATCTATGCGGAAAAGACAGTAACCATTATTTTTTCTTTCAGAATTGTGAAAAAACAGCATTAGTCTGATTAAAACAAATTGACATTACTTTTAAAATATGTTAAGTGCATATTTTTGACATATGTTTTTTGTTATTTTGTGTACAACATGAAATATAAAAATTGTAAAAAAAAATTACGACTAATAATGATTTCAGCTACGAAAATAAATATGAAGTACGTCTTAAATACAGCTTTAAGGTTCAGCATTAAATATACAAAATAGTTATAGAACATTACAGTTTCAAAGATGCAGTTGCTAAAATGAATGTACTACTGATAATTGAAAACCCCAAAACTGCAAAGCTTTAACAACAGATGTCTTCGGTTAATTTTGCGCATTTGTTGGCCGAGTATGACCTCTAATGTGCGACTATGGCATGTAATTATTTAGGAGCCCCTCAAGAAAGAGAGTCAACAACGAAAATATATATATATATACACGTTAAGCAAAAGCAGAAATAACGTAGCACATGCAGCACTAACCTGGAATCTGCAAGACAGTAGAACACGACGACGACCACGCAATACTTGGCGTAGAACCGTAAACAATGAAACAAATAAATCGATAGGTTAAATGAGATATATCGCTCGAAATAGGCAAAATTGGAAAACTTTTGTACAAACTCTTTGTGAATAGGCTAAGTTTATACAATCAAATATTGTACAGAACATGCCATAATAATAATATTACTGATATATTTTATTAAATACTTAATAAAATATATATATATGTTTGGCTCATTTGTTTAAATTTTT